AGAGATTTGTGATCTAGCCCAAGAGACCTTTAAAACTGCTGTGGGTTGCGTGCCTTTCTTTTAGTCCTGTCAACTGTTTTCATCACTGCAAAACTCAGGGTAGCAGATGGTTTCCTGCTCTTTTTATTATTTCATTGTATTGTAAAATAATTAACATTTGATTTGTTAATGGCTATTAATGTGTTTATGCTATCAGCAAACAATGGAAACAATTACCAGGGGTTTCTCCAGTGTGCTGGCCAGGGCCTTTCAATTTTGACTGTTTTTCTTTTTTAACCTTTTAAAAAGGAGAAAAATGCTGATTGTGTTTCCCAAGCACAGGGTTAAACTTGCCTCAATTTGGCTTTCAGCTGATAAAATCCTTAGTAAACCACCCTTAGTTTTAGGACTCATTTCCAGTGAAACTATGATCCCATGTGGATTGATCCAACTCCCCAGGGACTCTTGCTGAATGCAGTCAGATTAACAGGTTAACACACCTCCTCCTGGCACTGAGTAGAATACAGAAAAGCTGCTGTTTATACAAACACATCGAGTCCTCTCTGAGTTGATTCGATCTAGGTAGAATGCTAGTTTCATTGTGAAAGGGCCCTTAGAGTTTACTTGAGAAAAACCTCTGTTACAGCTGTTTCATGGAGGTTGTTAGTTTCAGGTAATCTCTTCTGAAACTCAGGGCATATGGAGAGGATAAATGGAAAAACTGCATTTTGAAAGTAGATTTGAGCAACATCTTCCATGATTAATAACCCCATGCAATATGGAGGGTGTTAAAAAGCAGAAAGCCAAAATGAATTTTAAAAAGTACATTTTTAGGTGTTACAAAGCAATAGGTTTGAAGACAGGTTTCGTTTCTTCTTCACTTGATTTACGGTGCAGTATACCTACTTCCTAAATAAAATTTATCTTCAGTCATTGTAAAAAATAATGATTGGCAGTCACTGTCCTCCCCTTTCCAATGGTCTTCATCTAAAAACCGTCTTTACTCAAAGACATAAGCAATTAAAGTGTCTAGACTTCCTGATTATTTCAACAGAAAAGCATTGCACATGCATTCAGAGAAGAGATTATAGAATGTCACTGTTTTCATTTAAACAAAATGTGGCCCATTCAAAAGCAAATGGGTTTTAATAAGAAAAAGGACGTGTGAGAGATTTGATATTTAAGGATAGATAAAGCATGACCAGACAGTGAAGGTTGACGTCTATGAAATGCTGACACCCTGTGTTTCAAAGGACATACTTCTGATTTCCTTCTCTCCCCCTCTGTCCCTTGCTTGGTAAAATTTGCTTGGTACATGTTGACCAAAAATACAAAGAGAAATGAAAGGTGCTCTTGTTAAGACCAAGGACTATTTAGATTAGCTGGACAAACCCCTTAAACTTTTTTTTATCTCAGCCCACATTCAGACAACTGGGATGTGTCACTAGTCTGAAACTCAGGGTGTATTCAACATGTTTTATTCCTAGACTCCTGATGTAGTCAGATAAGGCTTAACAAAATGTTTCACATAAGAGAGGTGTTAATAATATCAAGTCTGTTGATATTGGACAAAAGAGTCGGTAACTTTAAAGGCCCTAATTGAGTTGAATTATGCCATAATAATAATAACAGCTTGAAAATAAGGGGCAGAGAATAAATGCAGAGTGAATAACATGAATCAAATTTGATTTCGAAATGAGACAAATGTGTGTTGAACAATATTATGACTTAAGTACCATGTATTAAAAAGTTAACAAGGCTATAAAAGATATTTTGTGTATATATTGCAAATAGAATAAATACTGTAAGTGATGACGACCTTTACCTCAAGTACCGCATATATCATTTGACGAGGTAATAAATACAGACGGTAATCATGGACAATAAGGATAGTGTGCATTTTGATTGATCTTGTTTTAATACAAAAGTGTGCAGCTCTGGCTAGACGCATTCCAGTCGACTGCCTAACCCACCGTTTATCTTTTTTTGGGCAATACAGGTGGGATAAATAAATAAACAAAATATGTGTGTGTGATAACAGAACCAAATTAAATGTTATAAATGACCACAGGAATGTGGAACATTATTGTATGTCCAAGAATGCAGTTTATTTGGATGTTGAAGGTGCATTTACAGTCCTGTTGTAACTGCTAAGCTTACAACCATACCATCTTGGCAGATGGGGGAAGTACACTTCCTAACATTGGGAAGCCTATCTAATCCCTCTGCTGTTCCACATTCTTAAAGTTTAGTTAACCTAGCACTGGGAATGATTGGAACATATTGTACACATAGGGCTTATTCCCACTGAAGATCAAACTCTGCGGGGACTCTCGCTAAATGCAATCAATTTATCAGATCAACACACCTCCTCTTGGCATTGAGTAGTATATAGAGAAGCTGGTGATTATGTGAGGATGTTGGAAACAAGAGGAGGCGTGATAATATTGTGCCAAGATAAGCAGTCAAAAGTCAACTGTAAACATGCCACTGCTCACCATAGAATGGGTCTCTATGAAAAATTCTTCCACTTGCTTTTTGTCATGAAAAATGCTGAAATGTCTATATTTATAACATGAAATCAGCCAATCATTAATAATTTTAGCCTTTTTCAATAGCTTGTTTATGCCAAGGGTGATCTGAACAGTTTTATATATTAATAATGGTAATAATGATGATAATAATTTCATAAACCATCATGCAGTCAAAATATCCCAACCGTAACTGGTTTATCTGAGAATATATGAGAGCTCATAATTACCAAATGAAATGAGAGACATGTACTATTAAAATCAGGATTTGGTTGCCAGCCACCATGGGTTCTAGTGGTTTACCAATAGATCAAACAGATTTCGGAGAAGATTGTTTGGGAAAATGAAAAATTACATGAAAGTTGGACAACATCACAAAATCTACACAATGGTGAACATGTGTATAGTTCATTCATGGGCAAAATAGAGATCATTGCCATCTGAGAACGGAAACCACAGCCCAGACACAATTTACCACATGGGTCTCCCAGATATACTCAAAGGGGCTTTTATTGTGTTTTGTCTGTTTCAAAACCATTTTGACAAAAGCAAAGTTTCGTAATGAGGCTTGTGAGTCCTTCACATGCTGTTATCATTGACTGGGTTCCCATACCTAGATCAATCTAACAGGATCGATCCATCTCCAAGGGGTTTTCTTGCTAAATTGCTTTCAGCTTAAGCAACTAAGATCAGGCCTAACCAACTACCAGACTCGGCACCTAAGGATCCTGACTTAACCGGTATATCGGACCGCACTACCCGTTTTCAAGGTGTGTGTCAGATCGCATTTCGGAGTATCAGTCAGAACACCGACAGGATGAGCCCACGCTCGGCTGTCACCTTGATTGGATAGTAAACGATTGTCGTATTAAATCGCTATATGATTTAAAAACCGGGTGCATAAATTTGAAAGCCCCCTAGATGAACCTTAGACTGGCATATTAATCTAATACAATGCAAAAAAGCCCTATCAAAAGTGGTTAAAGCATTCAAACCGAATGTCGTAAAGTCCCATATACCCCCATAGAGATAATGAAATAGAGTACTCTAAAGTAAGAGTACAGTTTAAGGTTGTTCAGCCGAGCGTGGATGAGCCCGCAGTCGTCATACAAAATTTGTTGTTGGGTATGATACTCCGAAATGCTATCTGACACACACCTTGAAAACGGGTAGTGTGGTCCGATATACCGGTTAATTCAGGATCCTTAGGTGCCGAGTCTGGTAGTTGGTTAGGCCTGAAGATATCTAACAAGCCTACCAAAGCTGTTAAACGCCTACCCTAGCAGCTTCAGTAGGGGTGACAGACATTTAAGCCACTTATGTTGATTGCCAAGCAACAGATGATTAGTTTTTGGTGGTGATCCAGATCAATAATAATCAAAAATTGCTGCCTTGGCGGAGGTCTGCACTCTCGGAGTGCTTTTCTAGTTTAAAAAACATTTCTGTGTAGCATTTGGTGCTTCTACTGCATAGAATAGGACTATCAGGTAGTCTACTTTTCATTTTTGTTGCAACCACTCAATAGGAATGTTCTTATTTTAAGAATTAATCTCTTAAAAAAAAACAGTATTCAGTTAAATTCACAATTGTCCCAGTAGAAAGAAACGAGCCTTCACCAGAGTTGACACAGTACAATTTATGTGATGAAGGTTTTCCCAGTCTGTATGGGACAATTTATTTAGATGTAAGGATTGCTATTTAAATGAATTTTATGTATAATTACGCACAGGTGAATGGTAATGTTATCATGTGGATGTTAGGGGGGTTTGTGGTTTTAGCTCACTGAGTGCAGCTTACCTAGTTAATCTGGTGTAATTGATTTAATCTGTGGACAAACCACATTGTCAGTTCATTTTATAATCAGTCTTTATGCACACATGCACCGGAAACTCAGCTAGATAGTGGGTAGATCACACCAGGTATTTCATTGATATTTTCTGGACCTGATGTGGCCTGGTCAAACTCTGGATTAATTTGGACCGAAATTGGTCCAAACTGCATCATTCTACATAATCAAGCATCATATTGATTAGAGTTAGATTTGAAAGCCTGTTTGAGATGGTCTGTATATTCTAGGTCATCTTATGAAGTCAAATGATGCATTGTAGTCAGTCATTGGTCCAAGTTAGTTCTGTGTGTGATAAAAAGACCCAATTACATTACATTTCTACTGAATGATGTGTATATTAAACCAATAACATTACCTAAGAGAGTGCTTTTAGGGGCCCATGATTTCAATCATCTCCAAATGCTTATTAAAACATAAAATGAATGCTATTTCTAAAAGTGATTATGCAGAATGAAAAAATTCTCTAAATGTGATCCATTTCAATTCTATTTCATCACCATTCTCTGCTTTTTCAGGTTGGATTTTTTTTAAATTAGCAATATGGCATTTATAAATCATCATTTTACACCAGTTGTATAAATAAAAAATACAGCACAGCAATAATTATGCAAAATATTTAAAAATGATGTTGTCTTTTTCAGGACAAGCGCTACCACATCATCAAGGAGCTGTATAGTGTAGAACAGGAATATGTGGACTCCCTCCGAATACTGGTGGATGTAAGTATAACAATATAGGATAAGCAGGGGGGAGGGGGGTAACTTATAAAGTTAGGTAGTATATTTTATCCAGCTTAGAATTATTGTATTATTGTCATACTGTTTATGATGTTACAACTTACACATTGGCATGACAAATTGTGACACGTGTAACGCATTGTTACACCCAGTAGTGGTACACCTAACACATTAGCACACCCAATAGTCACAAACTTACTCATTAACACACCCAATAGTGGCACACCTAACACATTGGCATAACCAAAGATGGTACACCTGACATTTTGTTATACCCAGCAGTAGCTGACTTCAAATATTGGTCAATCCAGTATTGGCACACTTATACTTAGGCACATTCAATAGTGACACACCTAATATTGTTACATCTTACTGTCTTATGATAGTGCAGCACTAAACTGTCATGGCAGCAGTGTTTAACATGACATAATGATATCCAAATGTTCTTGCTATCCTGCTGGTAATATAAATAACATTTTCTATATTCAGGCTATACACAAGGCTCACTCTGAACATCTGTTTAAAGAATTAATATGTTTTTGCTGTTTTTTTTAACAGAAATATGTGATTCCACTGAAAGCTCAAGACATTCTGGACAGCTCCATGGTGGATGAAATATTTTACAAGACCATGATTCCTGAAATCCTCACACATCATGCAATTTTCCTGACTTCACTAGAAAGAACATGGGAAAACTGGAGCAGCACACAGACGGTGGGGGATGTTATAAAAGCTATGGTAAGAGACTCCCAGTGAGAGTGTGCGTGTTTCATATGGTAGATAGAATCGGGTCAACCTGACCCAGTCACTGAAAGCGAAACCTGGCACAACAAGTAAAAAGAGCAATATTCAGGAAGTTTATATGGATGTTCAAGCTGGTAAAAGTCATGCTACTGTATTGTTTTGTTTAGGTGGATTACTTGAAAATAAATTAGCCATGTCAAAGGCTTTATTAATTCAATAACAATTTGATGAAAAATAAGCTTTTTTTTTTTCATTTTTTCAGCCTCAGTGAATTAAAAGTCAAAGGCAAAAAAACATTACCATACTAACAGGAAACAAGTCTGAATGCAATTTCATACCTATTAGTCTGAAATCAGTACATGTACAAATTTTAATTAAGATAGAGATCAGAAGGGAAAAGATACAAATCCAACTTCCTGTGAATTTTTTTACTTTTTTACATACAGATCTTTACCATCAAGTGTACTACTAGAGAGAGTTTATTACGCACTTGGTTTTGCGTCTCGAAATCAGGGCATCTAATCTCGGCAGCATATGTTGTAATCACTGTTTAAACACAGTGACAAGTGGTACATCCGTGAGACGCACTAAAGAAGGCAGTGGTGTCAGACTGCAAGTTAAAATGGTCGTTCTTAATCCATCCCCAAACACTGTAACATGATTGGGGATGTTTATATGTGCGATGATGAGGTGGTATCTTTTTATTGGGCGTATCATGATAATTGCTGATTTACCTGATATTGCCCAATTGGATATGTAAACATATATAAACTTCAACCTCTTGGTTGTATTTTTTTCTTTAGGTTTCATGAATTATTTTTAAAAGTCTATTGACATTCCATAGATGTATTATCACATAAAATGATGCAATGACAATGTACATAAAATATTAAAGTAGTGTATTTCACATACAGCAGTGTGCACAGGGTTTTCCATAAAGATGGTGACGTCTACTTAAAGTTTTTTTTTTTACACAACTTGGCATACAGCGTGATAAGTGACGTGATCTGCTCTTGATGTGATAGTCTTGTTTTTGTTGTAATCTTGTTAACAGTACTCGTAATCACGGGACACTTTGACACCGATTACACAACTAAACACAGGTGTACGCTGTGACATTTGCAATGTGTCATTGCGTTAGGAGAGTCTGGAAAACAGACTTATGGTGACATGTTGCAGGTTGCAGGTCCTATTCACTGAAATTGAAACAGTTAGTACTGGATAACTACCTAACACTGAAATGTATACTTAAGCAACGTGATAGGCAATTCAGAAAAGTTGCTGAAGCAGAAATAAAATACATGTGTCAGTGTGTAGAAACAAAAGGTTTTAATTAAAGTCACTGAAGTGTTTGGTTATGTTGTGGTGTAAACAAAACATTTTTGTTTTTTTGGTTTTATTATGGTGTATATTAGAGTATTTTGGTCATCTGTGAATAAAGATTTTAGATGTATTTTAGAGTATTTTTGTCATCTGTGAATAAAGATTTTAGATTTCGCCTTCATTTCCAAAGTTGCTGAAAAAGATTTAAAATTTTATGTTCTATATTTTTATTTTCAGTTTTCAAAGCAGTCTGTAGTTGAAAGCTACCTTCTTTTTATCAAGAACTACAAGCGCTCCGAGAAGATGATAGACCACGCTTTGCAGACAAAGTCATCATTCCAAAAATTTTCAGAGGTATTTTCCTCAAAACTTGTTGTCTTTTTGTTAACAAAAATGTGAAACAGCATGGCACATGCAAAAAAGAGCTTAATGTTTTTATGTACTTATCATTATGTTGATGTATTTTACTTCATAATAAGCATTACTTTAAGATTTATTCATAGTATATTTCTGCAGTGCCAATCGAGTTGTTATACTTTTTATTTTAATTATTAAGGTATTCGGTATTACTTTGAAATATATTCATGTGGTATTTCAGCAATTAATGCCAATCAAGTAATTATACTTTTTATTTAAATTATTAAGATAACCAGTGTTACTTTGAAATATATTTGTGGTATTTCAGCAATGCCAAAGAAGTAGTCGCAGAAAGCTTAAGATCAAGGACCTGATTATACAGCCAGCACAAAGAATACCACGGTATGAACTGCTGATTCAGGTAAGAAAACACCAGCAAAAAAAAGATCAAATGAATGAGTCAGATTGCACACAGTGTACATATGGACATTTTGGAGAAAGATTTCAAGGAAAAAATATGAAAAGGTTTTCAAAGAAGTGTACTGTAACAGAAGAGGTTCGTGCCTTACATGCCAATGATGTTCTTTGTATCATGTTTTTACAAAGAAACTCACAATGGAAAGACATATATGGAGCCTGCCTTGTTCTAAAAATATATTCAAAAATAAAGAACTTAAGAGCTGTTAATTGGTGACATTTGTTGGCATGCAGGTTCTTTATTTCTTTATACAGGTTTGGTTTTCTTATGGAACAGGTAGTGTTGGCCTTGTAAATTAGCAAATTATGGACATTTTAAACAAGCCTTGAATTCTTTGAGGAAGAAATAACTTGATTTAAGAAACAGATTTGCAGGATTTTTTCCAAGGTGATTTGGCCCTACTTTTCTAAGAAAATCTCCAAGCAGACGACCTGCTACCGCTTGTCATGCTAATTAGAGAAAATTGATGTTGACTTCTGGCACTTAGATGGTTACCCCACAAAGGTTGGGGGGTCACAATCTTAACCCCAGGGAGGACAAATTCACTACCTCCTGAGTTTATAAGAAGGTTTATATACCCAGGAGATATTTTGGGAAATTATTCCTGTCCTGTTTGGTGCTAATTTCAGATGTAATCCAGGGAGAGTGTTGGGGGGTTTGTCTCTAAAGGTTAAGTTTAAGGAACTAAAGTTAGCCAGGATTAATAGGGACTGCTGGCCAATGCAGTGCACATAGCAGGGAAGATATTTTCAGCCTAAGGAGCTCACTGTAAATACCTTCTTGATGATGTTTTCAAGTTCAATGAACTTGACTTTTTTTTTTGCGAAAAAGCACTTTTAAGTTCAAAAATATGCATTAAAATGTTTATATCTATGGTTAGAAAACAATAATGATGGCTCTTGTTTTCTCATCTTTAATCTGCAATTCTGAATGTATAACTGAGAGAATAAACTAAAAAGTCAAGTTGTCATTTGCTGTGTTTCATTGTGTAAAAGAAAGAGAAAAAACAAGCAAAAAAGTTTTTATAGTGAAATGTCTGAATCCTGTCATATTCATTCAAATTTGCCATGAAATACTATACTATAACCTGTATTGTGTGCGTATATATACAGAGTAATAAATACTTAAGAGAAGTAGTCTGACTCAAAATTGGGATTCAGCCATAGCATGCCTATTAGAAACAAAATGGCATATGTATGACTAAGTATGTGTTCAGAAACTATGGACAGGCAGATCCTGCTGACTCCATGTTATTATACAATGAGAGCAGGGTTCATAACAGTGTCATAAGAAGGATCAGCTAGGCTTCCAGTGTCTTGCTGTTTGTGTGCTATTCTAGTGTTGTTTGCATTGTGTAATCCGCTTTATTTTCTGTTCGTAGCACAAAAACTTGTCAGTTTGGATTTGTCTCAGCACATGTGATTCAGTGGCAGAAAGGTGGTATGATATGTGAAAAAAGATTGGAATCCATGTTCAGGGACATTGTTCATTTAAACTTTAGGCCACTGTATGTGATGTCTACAGTAGAGCACTTGTATTAGAACCATGTTTTCCTGCACCATCATTCAGGATTAAGAATTGATATTTTTGGATAATTCATTTGATTTTAATCATTTGAGAAATGACTTCAAAACTTTGTTCGCATCATTGCAAGTTTAAAAAAAAACGAATGTAATTTATTTTATCATATTGATACTAAATTCTTGTCTCATCAATTTAACCAGAACGGTTCTAGGCTTAACTTTTGAAAGCAGGCACTTTATTACAATCAACAGTTTTTATTGTGATCCCCACTAATGACTGAAATCTATTTTATTGATTGTGATTCCCAATATGTTACTGTATTTTTAGTCTATATGTTACTGATTTCAGTCCAAACTAGTAATATGTTCACACTATGTAAGCTGTGAATTTAAGGATCAACATGTCATAATGAGATAACTTAAGGTTTATGATGGGGAGAGGGGGTTAAGTTTCTTATGGCTGAATCTAGTCCTTTAATTGAAATAGTTGAACTGGGAGGTTTTGGTACATGTCAAGATGTTCTCATTGATTATATGTCAGATCATTGTTATTGTTCGACAGCAGGAACTTTTATTTTCCATTTCTTTTTATACTTATGTATATTGTTTCAAAAATTCCTTGGTCACACCACCAAAAATCATCCAATCTTCTGTTAGAAAAACCAGGAAGATGTTCATTCAATCGCATGCTTCTGGGCTATCGTTGTGCTTTTCAGAAATTCCTTTGTCACACCACCAAATTTAATCCCAGCTATCATTGTTTTTAAGTGGACAGAAAAAGTAAAAAAAGGTCTGCATTCCTCTCTTATCTATATGTAGGACTTTCAGTTCACACTGATTTGGCTTAATCCACTTCTTGTTGTCAGTTTTATGGGTCATACCTACAGGGATAACCTTGACTTTTCTTTGTTAAAGTTCAATCTAAATTTTATTTTATTTTGTTTGTCTATTTTTTGTTTGTTTGTTTGTTAGTTTGTTTTTTCCAACAAACAACAATCCTTTTCCCACATTGAAGCAACCCCAAAGGCAATAGACATTTTGGTATATATTTTCAGAGATTCCTTGATCACACCAGCAAAGATCACCCTGATTACCCCCTGTTAAAGGAGGCAGAAAAAGCTATTCATGACCTGGCCATGAAGATAGGAAGTGTGGACAAATCTCGGCGGGGAGAAGATATGCAGGAGACTTTAAAGAAACTGGAACTGCTACTCCTCATTGATGATGTAAATAGCTTGTGATATAGTTTCCAACAATTATTTTTTTGTGAATCCACCATGGTGATGGTGATGATGAATTTGTTTATCTTGGATACTGATATTTAAAGTTTATATGTTATTTACAATAGATTTGCAGATGTTTTATAATATTTTGTTTACCCTGCATTTGAAATGTATAATTAAATAAGATGAACACATTTGTAGATTGTACATCTATACATGCATACAACACACACACACACACACACAATTTGGAAGATAAACTGAAAGGCTAACTGTAATACTTCCCTTTTCTTTCATACTCCAGCTTGCCACTCCAGATAGAGTATACTTACGCCATGATATGGTGACAGTGCCAGTAAGTAGACTGCTGCTTGCCTATTACATTATTACAATATACATGTATCTTCTCATCACTTAGAAAAAAAGAATTAACTGTATTTTATCATATATTGAAGCTGAAATTGTGTTAATCAACATAAGCAAGAAAGGTGGTAGGTCTGTGTTCAGAAGGCAGATACTTGATTGCAATCGACCTCTGTTATCTATGAGTTAAGTGGTTGGTTTTACACAGTGTGTCCCAACTGGCAAACACTTTTGGTCATTCAGTGAAAGTGTTTGCTTTGGGAAACAGTTACTTTCATTAAGAACCAGGACAAAATTTGACTTTTATTATGTAGATATGATATGGAATGATGACAGGTTTATTTGTCCAGTTTAAACCACTAATAATTATTTAAATTTATTTAGCTCAAAAAAATATGTTTTGCATTTATTTGCATCTTTTCGTGTTTTCTCTTTCTTAGAACCGAAAGGACATGTGCTGCATATGGATGTTCTCTGATCTCATTGTATTCACCAGTGTCAAAAGGAAAAGTGGAAGTGTAGGAAGGAAGACATCTTTACTTGTGTATGTATATTTTACCCTATGGACTAATACTCGATCATTTTTCATCAGTCTGTGCCAACCATAATAAATGTATAAAATAAGCCTGGCAACATTTTGGGCAAAATACCAGAACTTTAATGACTTCTTCGCTTTTTATAATGATCAGAAAGTATGTATATTTTAGACTTTTCAATTGAAAGAACTGGGTAACTTCTCTCCAGATTTCTCCAAAGGAAGCTGAATTTAATTTCGTCATGTGTGTGATTTTCTTTTCCCTTACCAGGCAATCTCCGTCAGGGAAAGTGGATTTTATTGAGAATATCAAACACAAATTTTGGCTCAAGATTGGCTTAGATGATGTTGAAATTGTCAACTGTAAGTAATGTATTATAGATGTAATACAGCACATTGTAAATTAACTGTTTTATGGGTTATGATCACAATCAGTAATTTGACAATTTACTCCACACTTCTCCACTAGCACAACCCACTTGTCCCCTCTAACACAATGTAAGTTTTTATAACATTTATTCTAGTACTCTGTCTGTTGCATGGTATCCATAATCTTATTTTTTGCAAATATTTATAATGGAAAATGTTTAATTTCACTTTAGGAAACAGCTAGGAAAGACGTTATGTCTGCATTTAAGCATCCGCATGGGTGTGTGTGTGTGCGTGCATGTGTGTGTACTTATAATGTATGACCAGTTTTACTGCACTAAAGAAATCACACATAACGGCAGTTTCTTCTCTCTGCTTTCAGCACCAGACACATTGACAAGGAAGCGCCACAAAGACAAAGATCAGCTGGAGTCTGACCTGGCTGTTCTCACAGATGTGACAGAACTAGTCTGTAAACTCAACTGTGAACATCAGGTATGTGCTGGGACACAGGGCTTTATATAGTGTCTTTGTTGCATGTTTTTATTAGCTTTTGTGTACTATAGTGTGTGTGTGTTTGTGTGTGTTTACAATATTTGTCTCAATTGTCTGTATGATACATAAATAGGCATTGACAATTCTGCAAATTACAATGCAAATTTCTTAAAGAGTCACCATAGAACAATGTTAAGTTCAACAAATGGTCAGTTCATCATTTGAAAAAAAAATTAGCTTTTAAATTAAAACTATTCTATATATACCATACATGTGTTGTTGTCTCAGATGTTGAAGGACGACATCGCAGAGCTAACGAACACCCTGAACAACCGTCTGTCAGAGCTGCAGCTCCAGAGTGCTGGTACAGATATGTGCAGGATTGATCTCATGGCCACTACACCGTAAGTACACTACAGACAAACATGATGATAACTCACTACAATTTAAAAAAAGCCTTTTATTTCATTTTCAATTAATTGCATTTTATTTTTTGTTTCATTTTTATCATTTTATCAGTATTTATAATGAGAAGAAGAAGATTTTATTAATTAATAATAATAAAATCTACAAGAAACATTGCCTTTGTAATGATTTAAAATTTGAGCAAATGTAAATGGGTATTTTGATTAATAAAATGTACTGTTATTGGTATATATTTTGGAAATGTGAACTGATTGTTTGTTCCTCTTTTGTGATGAGAAAAAAGAATTATTATTTTCATATTAGCAAAAATATTTTGAGGTACAAAAACATCTTTATTTCAATTTACTGAATACCACAAGTAACTGCATGTAAAAAAATGGAAGGTTACATCCAATCACTTCATGTTTTGACAAATGCATAGAAATACCTGTATTTAATTTTCTGAAAACATCACACTAGTTTTCCTCATGAACATTTTAGTTTTTCATCTTTTATTGTCAGCATTTTCTCCTTTTTATTTCAGTGAGGGTGTGTCCAACATCATAGCTATCTTCCCCTCTCCAGACAAGAGGAAATCCTGGGAAGACGGATTCATGGAGGCAAAGCAAAATCTGTGTAAGTTCATTTAATTTAAAATGAAAATCAATTTTTTTTTCATGAATGGATGTACCATTGCTTATGAAAAATCACTGTGCAGTTGTTATAGATTTAATAGAGCTAACTCTTTTATGCAAGCATTGCCTTAATTGGCCCAGGTAAGTCATATGTTTCAGTAAAGATAACTTGTACATTTAGTTTTGTGAAAATAATTTATTGTGACTTGAAAAAACTTAGATTTTATAGCAGTTGTTATCATCATGATAAGTTTCTGCATTCTGTATATCATAGTAAAAAATATATATCCAAGAATATGCTGGTTGCTGATCTGTAGAACTGATGACCTTATTCATATACCTGATCAATTTCAAGGATTTCCTGTTTGTACATTCCAGCTGCCATTACAGAGAAAAGGCCACCAGAATTCATGCAAGCTTTGCAGATCACTAAGACCAGAGCTGGAATGCAGGTTAGATATACCTAACACTGATGTTTATGACCTCTCTCTCTCTCTCTCTCTCTCTCTCTCTCTCTCTCTCTACAATGCAAAAGTGCACATGCTTTTTTAAAAATGATAATTTATTTTGTAATAAATAAATTTTGGATTCCACTACTCATGTGATAGTCTCTCGTGGACCTTATTTCCATTTTCTTGATCTCTGAGTATTTCAATTTAATTTGATATAATTAATCATTTAATAGATATATAAATGGATGAGTGGATGGATGGAAAGATAGATTTACATTATTTTTTCATCCTATCTTTCGTACCAATCATTACTTGCAGTTTTCCTGTGCCTCCCCCGTGGATGGTGTGAACACATCGGGCTACAGAGATGTGTGGGTGTGTAACAGTGATGGCTACGTGGGGCACATGTGCCTGCTCAGTCTACAGCCAGAACCCATAGTGACACTGAACACTCCTGTCCCAGGGTGCAACTCAAAGATACTGTGTATATTTGCAGTGCCAGCATACAGTGGGCCTTTAAAAAGGTACAAATGGGTATAAGATTTTTCTTTTCCCCCCCCCCTTCCCCCCTCAATTATTGACCAAACATTCGCAGTTTACGGTTTAGGTAGTGGTTTATGTCCAACTATTATCTATCATGTTCTTTTTCCGCTACTTCTATAATTATTTTGAATCAGCTCAGAGTCATCGCCAGAAAACAATCATTTTCTTGTGGCAAATGGTGCTACCAGCTACATACCTAACAGGTTAATTGCAACTCATATAATTGTGAAGTCTTGTTTATTGTGAAGGAAGTGCAAATATATATATATATCAAAGCATTATGATAATGAAAGGAATTATTGTTTGCAGGAAAGGAAGTGGCCGCAATCGTTCAATGGACAGTGGTCACCAGGACGATTTCAATCAGGTCAGTTTGGAGCTGAGTAACACAGAGTCCAGTGATGGTTCAGAGTCTGATACAGAGTCAACTGATGATGAGGATGATATGCCATCTTATAGCAGGAGGAATGTTGGTATGTGTTAGGACTCAGTATATAAACATTCTCTTTTGTAGCAATTTTGAGATCGCATTGTATAATGATACAGTAAAGCCAAGTATTTCTTATATATTCATTCTTAATCTCATTTATGCAAACACCACTAACTATACAATACTGTATATACTGGTAAAAGGGGAATTGTGCAAATTTGCACCCTGGGACAGGAGTGTTCAGTGTCACTAAGGGTTCTGGCTGGAGACTGAGCAGGCAATACACTTTATTTTATGGATTATATTGTATCAAATATCATATTGTATCAGATGTAAAATAAAGTGTGATATACTATTTTCAGGACGCCACACCAGACAGAGCTCAGAGAGCAGCAAGCAGACGCCTCTCCTGGACCCATACAAGAGCACCATGTGGCTAGGAACAGACAATGGATAGTATGTGTCTCAGAAAAAATGACTGTACAGATTAAACAGACCAGAAGCTTAAACTTAACAGCATTATTTCTTGTCTGGATTTCACAACTTCCTGTTCAGAATAATATTTTTTTAATGCAATTTGGGAAAAATGCAAAATTTCTCTATTGGCAACTATTCTTTTGTTTCAGAGTTCTTGGACAGATCTATATCTTTGCAAAATTAGATAGTGGCATGTGTTTAGGGATTTCCTTGTATCTTTTCCAGTATCCATATCTTTCAAAGCACAGACAACATCAAGACCACCAAGAACAAACTGAAAGTGCCCCATCCTGCAGGAGTTCTTTGCATTGTGTAAGGAATGATTAGAAATTTTAGAAATAGCAAAGTATTTAAAAAAACAAAATTTGTTAGGGGAATTATGATAAGTGCAATATGGTCCAGAAATGTGAGATACCAAATGAATTTTATGTTTAGACACTTATATGAGAGAGAGAGAGAGAGAGAGAGAGAGAGAGAGAGAGAGAGATCATAAACAGCAGTACTAATGGTACATGTATTTAGTCTTATAGTTACTTGCAAAGGTTGACATTGAGGACACTTATAGTGTATTATTGTTCTCCTCAGGCATTTGGATTGCAAGGTGTTTGCTTCTTTAGCAAATGGAGAGATCCGTGTATACAGGAGGGATGCAGGTGAGATTGCCGTTTAAATATGAAATAAGGGTTGTAAAAATGTTCTTAAAGGGAAAATCAACCTTAATAAATTTTGTACTTAGTAGGTTGATAGGTTAAAACACCCCTTATTTTGTTCAAATACAAGTACATCAGTACCACTTTTTAGCCCACTGTCAAGTACATATGTTTTGTCATTTTAGTTTGAAAAAAAAGTGGTTTTCTGCTTTGTATTATGTATCTTTTCATTACAAGTTTTAAGGATCAGCAGGTTGTGATAATTTGAACAAATTCTGATGACTGCCTTCCTGTAAATGGCTCACAACAGATGACATTAAGTTACTATTCATGAAAAGTTTAAATTAACTTCTCCATTTACCACTAGATGGCAGCTGGGACACACAACATCCAGACACTCTATCAGTGGGCACTGTGACGTCACCAGTGACCAAGATGTTGGCAGTGGCTGGTAAACTGTGGTGTGGCTGTCAGAGTGGGGTCATGATGCTGAACCCTACAACTCTTGTCTCTGAGGTAAGTACACTAGTATGTGTTATGGCCTGTGGCCAAGGGAAATTTGAAATGGTCCTTGTATTGGATAGGTTTTCATTTTATTATTTTATACTTAATACACATACTATTGAATACACAGATAAAATAGACTAAACATTATAATTTACATTAACAAAAATCAGCACAGTTACATGAATGGAAACCACACTACAACACAATGGAGAATAGGGGGTTTCCACTTCGTTGTGGCTGATATCTGTATTGGAGCTGGTAGCTTGTACATTGGGTGATGGATGTGTCTACATGTACCAGTAGTTACAACTGTTGTCTCTTAGATAACCATTGACATTTTTTGTGATTCATCTTTGTTTACCAAGTACAATAGTCAAACCCTAGTTACTAATTGAACTAATTGGGATAAGTCTGCAATATCATCGAACTATATGTCTGATATTAGTATTGAAATTACCAATTCACGTCATCTTACCCATTATTTCAGGTTTCATTTCAAATCCCCACAGACAGCCCACGCCCCATCCAGTCCATGGTGTGCTCTGGTCAGGGGGTCTGGATAGCACCCCAGGGCAGCTCCAAGGTGGTGCTCTTCCATGCTACCAACAGACAGTTCCTTACAGACATAAGCATAGCTCAGGCAGTGACACAGAAACTTATGGGTAATGTGAAAGATTTTTCTGTCCATGTAAGAAGACAGACAAAAGGCAGATGTGAGAACCTTGCCTTGCATTTGATGAAATGTGTCGTTCCCTCCTCCCTCCATTTGAGTTGCTGAATATCTTGAAGAGAAAAAAAACCTTATAAATTGGTTTTGTTCAAGATATGGATATTTTAATCTTATGCTGTAATAGAAAAATTAACTTATGCTAACTTGTATGTAAATTTAATCCATGAAATTTTTTGCTCTTCATCAGCTACAGATGACATAATTAGACAGCATAAAACGGCGTGCCTTCGCATCACCTCCCTCCTGGCCTGTAAGGATCTCCTCTGGGTAGGAACCAGTGCAGGGGTCATCCTCACCATTCCCTTGCCGAAGATTACTTCATCCACCACTAAATCTACTCTTCAAGCACCCACTGTGACAGGTAAGCTGTGTTTTTTTTTTTGTTTTTTTTTTGATTGACTTTTAAAATATCAGTAGGGTAATTGTTTCCTTATTTCAAATAAAATCTATGAAATTTCCCAAAATGAAGTTATATAAGAAGTACATAAAGGATCACTTTCACAGAAAATAATAGAGAAAGCAATTGAATATTATTGTGAAATATTTCAACTGAAAAATATTTAACCATTATCTACAATATTTAACCATTATGTACTCAAAAATGCAGTTAAGTATTCAAGGTTTTTCAACTGTTTTCAGGTTTAGTCCATGGTCATACTGGTCACGTGCGCTTCCTTACAGCAGTGGAGATGCCTTCATCTCGACCTTTTCCGGAACAGTCGCTACAACAACATCACTTAATACGTCGTCGCTCAATAGGGGGCACTCCTGCTCGTGCCACCAAGATGCTGGTTATCAGTGGAGGAGATGGTTATGAGGATTTCCGCACAGGGATTAATAATGAAGCAGCAGGCAGGGATGATAGCACCAACCACTTACTGCTGTGGCAGGTCTGATGAAATGGATTCCCCTGCAGGTGGTGCCATCTATTGTTATGTTGCCCTTGTGAAAATGTGGGTGCTTACTGAAAATATGGGTATTTATTTGTTATAGAGGACTGGATGACACAATCAGAAGGACTTGCAAGAGTCTGCATGATATCTGATAACAGCTTTTACAAAATCCTGCTTGTCAAAGGTGGAAATTCATGCAGCCTTCCAGACAATGAACCAGGTTTTTTAATTAACAGTGTTTTAGGAGGCTTAACATTGTATCAACATCAGTGTGTCTCTGAACAGTCGATCAGGTAAAAATGGGGTGATTTGGTGCATGAACTGTGATGTGATAAGTTAAAGAAGTAATAGATTTGTTCATTGAAATTGCACATTGGTGGACTTAAGGTTGGCCCAGAAGTGAGTGTCCACCAAACAAAAACGTGCTATGAATAAAAAAAATTATTAAAATGTAAGATCACATGACATTTCCTAAAATTTTTATATCAAATGAAGCAAGTTCATACAGTGAAGATCAGGTATTTTAAACCTCAATATTTGGTATCCTTGCTTGCTTGTAAAATCAGAAACGAAAGTTTTGCACTGCAATAGCAAATATTCTTAATAGTCAAGAAAATTGATCTGAAAAAAAAAGAATTTGGTAGCTGCTCATTCTTTTGCCTGCAAACAAATCTAAAGAAGGCTTCTAGTTGTTTTGCAAAGTTATTGTGAAATGCAATTTCCTTAAATCTATTATTCTCTTTAAGAGACAATTGTGTATGGGTATATTGTCTGAATTTAAAATAAGTGTACACAAAATTTGATTGATTTCCATTCACATTTCAGTTTAACTTGTATGTTTTATCAAAAAAATTTTCTGGCTTATAGGATTACTCATTGAAGTCTGCCAATGGAAGTGCTATTGCAAATTTGCCAATATTAAAGAATATCAAATTAGTCATCGAGGGGAGCAGCCTCCAGAATCATTTTAAATATTTCAGCATAGCTGTAAATATATACAAATCTGAACCTCAAGAATTTTGGTCAAACCAATTATTGTATTTCTCCTAGGGTTCTTTTCACATTATTTACATAATTTTAATATTTCATGTTATTGTTTCTTATCGTATCAACTTGTGTCACGTTTGCAGGTATGAGGGGTCACCTCATCTTACGTGCTTTTGTTTGCAAATTTTTAATGTGCTAATTTGAAAACTGGTGCATCTGCTTTTTCAAGTCAGTTGGACATGCTAAGTCATGCAATTCATATGCTTTCACGTCATCACAGTGATACAATCTTTCTGGAAGTTTTCTCATTTTTAATCTGCCATTTGTGGCCTTGTCATGTACCCCAAAACCCATTTTACAGTGGGTGCAAAAAGAGAAAGAAATTTTTAACATTTTTCCCACCAATGAATGTCATTAATGTATCTATTCAATATTGTAGACAGGTGCTACTAGGCTGCATTGTTTTTATCTCAAGGATGTAAGTTTTAGATATGAAAAAATCAGTGTACAGTTATGGTAATACAAATTAATTTTTAATGATAACATATTAGATGTACAGACAATCCTATCAGGTGGTGCCATCATACAAACTTGGTTTGTAAAGGGTCTTCTAGGACGTCTTCAGCACCGTTTGGCCTATGAAAACATTGTGGTATATATATACTGTATGTAAGGAACAAATTTCCAGTATTATTACAAGTTATTTTGTATATTTATGAAGTATTGAGTGAGCTGGGCAGTCTTCAGAGAAAATAAAAATGTGAATTCATCAGTGTCGTATTTTTTATGTGGAAAGTTTCTTCGCGATGTTCAAAAAGAATTATGCACAAGTTACACCTGACCAACCTTTAAAAAAACCATTTTTGAAGATAAATTACATAAATCCAAAGAGATTGCAAACTGGTTTGTCAGTAGAAGTATGCAGGAAACCTTAGTCCATTTCCTATTACTTTGTACAGGTTTCATTTGTCCCATACGCCAATCCCATTCTTATCACAAAACTAAATTCAGTGGCACCAACTGGCCTTAGTTATTTAAAAGTATTGAAGCTTTGGTGTAATTTTCATTCTTTTTAAACCAAGCTTTGCCCCACTTCTCGTGAAAAAAATCTCTTTAAAAATCTAATCTTGCAAGAAACAAATTTCTTCACATACGAAATGAAGTTTTTTTCAAATTGGTAAATGAAATGAGTAAGTTCCAATTATGTGGAAGACTATTTCAATGACCAAAACATGTATTGTCTAAAACCATGCTTGAAGATATAAATATTAAACCATCAATTATAATACATGAAGACTCATTCGAGGGGATAAAGAACTCAAGACTTTTTTTCCATCTCACTTTATCTTTATTTCATGGACAAGTTTCTTTTTTTTTTTACTTCCTTTTTTTCCACATTTGAGATAAAGTAATAATATTCACAATTTTACAGTTCACTTAAGTTTAGTCTCTCCACCATTCTTCTACTGTGTCACTACAGGAGCAGCGTCGGGCTTTCCACCCTTCTGTTCGCTGACTGGTTGTGTGCAAAGAATTTCTTCTTTTGGTTCCACGATGCTGACATGATCTGGCAGAGGGCGCTTGGGTCCAATCTTTCCAGAAGGATCCCACGGCAACATGATCTTCACTTTTATTCCCAAGACACCTGTAAATAAAAAGAAAATGCACTGAAACACTACAAAACACTTCCAAAGAGTTTTTTAACCTAAGTAACCTAATAAGCTGAGGTCTATGTGTAAATTCAAAAGTTTTTAGCTACAACACTAAGAAGCAAGAAGGATCAACAAGAGATTTAAGGCTAAGCATCTACCCAAACAAGAACTTCCCCAAGCAAAACAACTTTTGAAAAGGTATGAGAAAGTTGCTTTTTTCCAAGACAATCATCCCAGCATAACTTGGCAAAATATTAATTTTTTATGTATAGCTGTATAACAACATTCTGTTGACAGTGAAAAAATCTTCACAGGTCTACTTCCATTTCCAGAAGATTATATTTTTCCTCCCTTTCAAATCCTACTGTTTCTCTCAGGACTCACCTTGTCTCAGCAACACATGCCTGACAGCTGTGTCAATGTACTCGCTGGCTGGCTCACCACTGTGGATCATCAGACCATCCACAAACTTCATGGCCTTGGCACGCTGGCCACGCAGCTTACCAGACACCACCACCTCGCAACCCTTGGCGCCAGACTCCATGATGAAACGAAGGACACCATAACACGCCCTGCAGGGTGAACAGTAAATCATATGTGTAAAGTGGTTTAGACTTTTAACAAAGATGAAAGAGTGTGTGGTGGGAAATCAATGCCATTATTTATCATGAAAATTATATAAGTTATAATGCATCTTTAAATGCACCTAATATCAATGTGATAATGCCAAATAGGCAACAAACTTTAGTCTTGACATTTGCAATGTTATTCGTCATAGAACTAATTTATGCTATGAACAGTACATTTTACCTTTATTCCTGCCACTCTAATTAATCTTTGTCTTTAAGTATGCCATCATTGTATTTTGTTCCAAGGTTTATATACAGACTTAAAATACATGAATGTTTAAGATGCGAGCATGAGAGCATTATTTAATAGACTTGCCTACGCACAGCCAGACCACCAATGAGCTTGTACCTCAGAGACTCTGCCTGGGCAATAGCACACAAACCTCTTGTGGCTACCTTCTCAGCATAGAGCTAAAAAACAAAATCATTTAATCTTTGCTCAGTTTAAGAAAATGAACTTGTATTAAATAACACACTGTCATGCAAAAACAAAATATTAGCCCAAAGATAGAACTCCCCAAACTGAAAATACCACAAAAAAAAAAATAAATAAATAAAATACAAATGTATTAGAACAGGGTTTTACAAATAATTTGTATTGTAACAACATCATCATCATCTTCTGGGACATGGAAGAATTTAGTGCACTCATTTTGTATTAATTTTTTTAAAATTCACTTTACCCCAGCAAAAAGAACAAAAGGGCACATTAATCTCAAATATTAGTTAAATCATTCACACATATATAAAAACAATCCCACTATATAGCAAAACATGAGTGTAACTTCCATATACAAATGCCCTTGCAACTAACCAAATCTGCACACACAAGCACACATATGCAGAACAAAGTATCATCCTCAAAAGTCAATTGCACATTACCTCTACTGTGCCCTCTGGGAAGCTGAACCTCTTCTGGACCACAGAGGTGAGTTCTCGGATGCGCCTCCCCTTCTCACCTAGCACATTCTGGGTCCTGGTGGCCAGGATGATGATCTCGGTCCTGGTGGGTGTTACTCTCACCTCGACACCACTGTAGCCATCCTCAGCCAACTCACGCATCAGGAAGGCATTGAGTTCGGCCTTGAAGACACCGTCCGCGACGAACTAGAAAGAAGATCGATTTGAAGTTGAAATTCACAATGTAATTGGGACTAAACAATCCATTGGGAGACTTGGTTGCATACATTTCCAGCATAATAACACAGGCAAAGCATTTTTATAGCCCATCTTACCCAACAATTTCAACAAAAAGGGGGGGGGCATTATTTTTTTTAAGCGGGCCATTTTCCTCCTTAGTTGACTAAACTTGAGAAATGGCATAAATACAGAGCGAACCCTTCACATACCTTAGTTTTTACCTCCCCCCCTCCCTAGTATTAAATAAGACAATTGTATAAGTTGACCACATTCTTCTTCATTTGTATGGATATATATTTATTTAAATGACAAATTTCTCAATATCGTGGCTGAAGTTCATGAGGAACAGGCGCAGAACAGTTTAATTCGAGAGAACAGTTGCCTTTGATATGCTTTGAAGAGTGCTAATAAAAATCAACTGGACCCTCCTATCATTTCGACAGAAACAGATCTCGTAAATGGTGGAGCCGATGCTTCTTAAATTGAACTAATCTGAATAAGACCACTGGTGTTCGAGTAACAGGCCATAAGCAGACCAGGCATGTCGGGAAAGGCATCCAAGAGAATCGGACCCAATCATTGGCTTAGAGGTCCATCAAGACTAAATGACAATAGCATCATGAAGACAAATGATTTAATTGCATTGCACATTGTTTCTAGCCTTCGCCAGTAAAAGGAGACATGAGCTAGAAGGGTTTGTTTACCTTCCTTTTCTTTGACACTGTCTGCGCCATTTTGGAGGCCGGAAAAGAGGAAGCAGTTTTCTTTGCCGCGTTGCATTGTGGGTAGCCAAGATGGAACCACCGTGGAGAAGTCACATGTCCAGTGTTTTTATTTTCATGGCAGCTGTAATATTTATTTCAAGTCACTATTTTGTAACAACCGCTGTTACGGATGTTGAGCAGAAATTTAAACTTTTCATTAAAAAGTACCAAAAGCCGTACAAGATAGGTTCAGAAGAGTATTATAAAAGACTAAAAATATTCCAGGTGAGTTGCCCATCAGCTGACTTACTGTAAACAGTAACAAGTAACGTTAACGTACGTCGCAACTTCCAAGTTTACGGTACTTTCTTCATGAAATATTCCAAATAATTCTCAGATTACAAAAGCGTTTATTTCTTCATCAGGAAAAATAGTTGTTCGTGTCTGTTTTATTAATGCCAATTTACTGGAAGACAGGTATGATAGTAGTACAGTATACATACTGGTATATGTAATTACATCTATCATGTATATATTTTTGTAATTTTGGATTTTTGATAGCTTATACATATTTGTCATAATACTTGTCAACCTGACATTGCAATATTCAGTTTTATGTTGACAACATCAATCATGAATTTTTCTTATGATTTACATTCCAGGACAGTCTGAAGAAGCACCATCACTTGAATTCTCTTAGGACAAGTAATCACAGTGCAATATATGGTGTCACAAAGTTCTCTGACCTTACAGATGAAGAATTCATTGGTAAATTGACTTTCAGTGATAAAATGATTAAATGTTAAACAGAATTAATTTATGGACTGCCAGAGGGCAGGATTGAAATTTTAAACAATTGCATTATGCATATATTTAATGTTCAGTATAATGATTGTTAAATTGTATGGAAGTCATTTAGTCTGCCTAATTATAAAAGTTAACCCAAATTCGGGTTTTTATTATTATTCAAAAATCAATGCAAATGCTCTGTTTTAAGCTCAATACCTTGATGATACCAAAAAGCCACTGAAGCACCATCTTCTGAAGAGCCAGGGGGGCTATGTCAAGAATACACAAAAACAAACCACAGATCATAGTTATAAATCATTCGAACCACAGAAGTGGGATTGGTAAGATACCAATGATTGCATTTTAATAAAAGACCAGGCTATTTTTTTAAACATAGTGCAAGTAAAGACGGTAATCCTGCAAAAACTTCACATCTCATCTGTGTTTCAAAACTTTGCTGTTATGAATTTATTTTTAAGCTGTGATAATTTGTATTTACATTCATGTTTGTTTTCTTTAACTTTGAGGTATTGCTGAGTGATGCACAATTTAATAAAATTATACAAACAACTGATAACTGATTTATTATTATTATTTTTTAAGGAGGACAGACTGGAAATGGCCAGTCATCACCAAAGTAAAGAATCAGAGATCTTGTGGGGGATGTTGGTAGGTACATGTACTTCACTCTGTACTGAATGAATTCTGTATGCCTTGAAAAACTTGGTTCACTCTAGGATTTTTGTCTAAACAGACAGTAACACCCTTTAAGATTAATCAAAATAATGAACCAATGAATTATGAATTTTGCAACAAAAAAGTTCTTTTCAGAAAAGTTAAAAATATGGCATATATCAAACAGAGTCAAACATGTCTAGACCATGCTGAGTGGATCTTGACCATGAAGTCATCATTTTTCACGAAGATTATATTTAAAATTTTTAAAAAGATAGAGATAAAACCTCATTTGTCCAAGCCAACACCTTGTCTCCCCGTTTTTCCCCAGGGCCTTCAGTTCTGTGGAGTCTGTGGAGACCATGTATGCCATAAAAACCAAAGACCTACGTGATCTTAGTGTCCAGCAAGTCATAGACTGTGCAGCCTATGGTAACTTTGGCTGTAGAGGGGGAGACACTTGCCATGCTTTATACTGGATGAAACTGGTGAGATGGTTAGATTGGCTTTCTCAATAGTTTTGGATATGGTATCTTGTGGTGATTGTGGTTGCTGTTTTTATCCATTATGTGAATTAAAACAAAATTTTTGAAAAGCTGAGGCAGGATAAGACAGTTTACTGCTAGAGGATCATAAAAAGTCAAACGTTTGACCAAACTTTATTTTTTATTTATTATTTTAGACCAGAACACCACTGGTGACAGATCAGGAGTATCCTCTTACAGACACTTCAGACTTCTGTAAGATAGAACCCAATGCAACCAAAGGGGTGTCCCTTACAGACTACACCTGTGATAAGTAAGTCTTATTGTTTTCTACCTTTTTATCCTCTTCAGTTACTGAGTTTATTGGTGAAAAGGTTGCTGGAAACGCAGCTTCAAAAAGAGATAATAGTTATATTTTAGCCTGACAGCCTCTGTAACATTTCAAAACTGATAACATTGTATTATAAATTGAGCTTTCAATGTAAATGATGTTACTCCATGTTCAGGATACAACACAGATATGTTTGAAAAAAAAAGTAATATTTGAGTTGAAGGCCATTTCAAATAATGAAGATTGACAATTACAATGGAACAAACATTACACATTTTATAAAATTAAGTTTCTTTGTAAAAATCACTTTTATAAACTCTCAACTTCATGAATGATTTCAACATAGTTTTTTTTACTCCATTTTTTACAGGTTTATAAACCATGGTCAATCCACAGAGGGCCAGATGGTCAGTATGCTGCTTAATGGCCCGCTGACCATATCAGTGGACGCTACATCCTGGAAAGATTACCTTGGAGGCATCATCCAGTACCACTGCTACAACTTCAACAATCATGCTGTCCAGATAATAGGCTATGATCTGACAGGTGGAAAGAGGCTGACAAAAATTGCCCTTTTGAAAATTGATGTTCTGAAGTGATGTTTGTTAATGCATTATACATATTCCATCAAAAATTTCTAGCCATTGATACAGCAGAATTGATATCACATAGAAACCATGTATGTACTCTCTCTCTCTCTCTCTCTCTCTCTCTCTCACACACACACACACACAGACTCTCTCTCTCTCTCTCTCTCTCTCTCTTTATTTGATGTTTGGAATGTACATTTCTACTTAATGCATTTGTATTACAGGCCCAGTTCCCTATTTTATCATCAGAAACTCGTGGGGAGATGACTTTGGTTTAAACGGTTATATCCATATAAGAATAGGAAACAATGTCTGTGGTGAGAATTTATTTATATATATTTTTTATTTATTTTATATCCTATGTGTGCAAAATTTATTAAACACTATGAAAGCAAAATACTTCTTTCACCCAAACTGTCAGGCCCATTTGTAACAATATTCTACAGTTGATTAAATGACAGAGTAGGAATTGCAGATATACCCGTATTCAAAAAATATTTTAATGTGTATTAATATTGTTGTTTGATTTTGATTTTTTTTTTCATGAAAATATAGGAGTAGCAGAGGAGGTTTCCAGCATTCAAGTATAACACCGTACCCAAATGCTTCCTATCTTTAATGCAAGAGAAGAATCAGAGTTTCCACCAGTGAAATATGCACATGCAAAAAAGAAAGATGAATTTGTACTCAGTGTCTTCCATTGTAGTTGAAGCACATTATCTAGAATTGTTGTACTTATTTGATTGATATAATTTTTTTCATGTAGATTATGAAATTTTTTAAGGTTAACATGCAGGAAGAATGAATTCCTGGAAAATTTGAAATTATATGGTGTATTGTCAGTCTGCACCTTAAAATCAAACTGTTTTGTATTATTAATTTATATACATTTTTGTAGATAAATAATATACAATGTAATATTTTTTACACACCAAACATCCAAGCGTATCGGTAGGTTGACTTGTAAATCTTTGTCCATACTGCTGCCATTTTTGCCTCTTGTACTGTTGGGTCCAAATTATGTCTAAAACTTGTATGAGATGAATAAGTTTTCACACAACCTAAATGTTTTTTTTTTCAGCTGTGACTGTACTGTGATATAACTTTATCGTTGAAATTGACTAAAAATGTGTCCCGTGCTTGGTCTCTTTTAAGGTGCTATTGAAAATATGCTTCTTGTTTGTGTAGATCAGTCAGTATCCTTGCACTTTCATATACGACAAACGACGAAGAGTGCATTAAGATGTCATGTTCTAATAAATATATTTTGCATAAACACTTTGGGAAATGATAAGATTATCATATGTAAAATATTACTGAATTGTTTTTATATAAAGAGAATTTGATGCCTTGAAGGACCTCTCAAATGGCTTGTTGCAATTAGGTCACAAAGTATGAGAAATCGTGCATACAAAATAAAATATATATTTTTATTGAATAAAATGTCACTGAAATCTGAAATTGTTATTTAGTTTATTTTGTACTTGCTTGATAATCAAAAGAACCATGGCAATTGCAGGTAAGGATAGCTGTTGCCTGAAAGTAGATAGACTTCATTTCTTTCAACTGAGTTGAANACATTTTTCTGATATACCTATGTTAGTGTACTTAAATTGAGAAATGGCACAGAAGGTAGATGAAATGTTGATAAACAGCAAACCCCTTTCTGGCTTTAAAATTTTTACCCTCCCCCCTTGCCAAACCCTTGCCTCTCAAAAGCATCGAGTTACGGAGCCCTGGAATCCGTGCCATAAATGCCAAATATAAAATAAGACAATTCTATAACTTTACCACATCCTTTAAACATTAATCCTACTTATTCGTATGGATATATTCATGACCAATTGCTCAATATAGTGGCTGATGGTTCATGATAACAGGCGCAGAGGTTTCATTCGAGTGTACAGATGCATTGGCCGTCTTGATAGTGAAATACTACTGGAATTTTTGAAATATCCCTCGAATTTTTCCAGCAGCAACGGATCTCATAAACAGTGGTACCGATGCTTCTTGAATTGAACGGATCTGCATATGGCCACTGCTGTTCGATTAAACAGGCCATAAGCAGTTTAGGCATGTCGGGAAAGGCATCCAAGAGAATCGGACCCAATCACTGGCTTAGAGGTTCATCCAGAATAAATGACAATAGCATCATGAAGAAAGATGGTTTAATTATACTGCACATGGTTTCTAACATTTGCTAGTAAAAGGAGACATGAGATAGAAGGGTTTGTTTACCTTCCTCTTCTTTGACACTGTCTGCGCCATTTTGGAGGCCGGAAAAGAGGAAGCAGTTCTCGTTGCCGCGTTGCATTGTGGGTAGCCAAGATGGAACCACCATGGAGAAGTCACATGTCCAGTGTTTTGATTTTCATGACAGTGATATTTATTTCAAGTCACTATTTTGTAACAACCGCTGTTACGGATGTTGAGCAGAAATTTAAACTTTTCATTAAAAAGTACCAAAAGCCGTACAAGACAGGTTCAGAAGAGTATTACAAAAGACTAAAAATATTCCAGGTGAGTTCCCCATCAGCTGACTTACTGTAAACAGTAACAAGAAAGTTCAAGTAACGTTAACGTACGTTGCAACTTGCAAGTTTACGTTACTTTCTTCATGAAATATTCCAAATAATTCTCAGATTACAAAAGCGTTTATTTCTTCATCAGGATAGGTATATCAGAAAAATTTTCAAACTGATCAGAAAATTAAAATACTTATATCATCTGAAAGGTAATGCAAAAACCGGATGAAATCATTTGGAATTTTTTAAATATTCCTACAAGCAACAAAGATATTGAAGTTTTTTAACTGCAAAAATCCACCAAAAGTGTCCACACTTCTCAGCTCAAAACCTGTGCCCACTGACCAGCAGTGATCACTCAGGCGCAGCAGAGCACCCTGTGTGTCTTTGTGTGCTCAGCCTATTGTCTGGCTCACATAGCCTGTGACTAATCAGGGCAGAGCTATTTCCCTGTGGTAATTTTCACATCATGTAATATTGCGGATTAAATTAACTATACTTCGCAACCTTCAAATTTCATGATTTTTCTACATAATATAGCAAATTTCATAAACTTTGCTGGATATAAATTTCAAAAAGATGATACCAGCACTTACCTGAAATTTTTTAGCATTTTGTAGAGGCAAAACTTAAAACAAGCAGAACCGAAACTTGTCAAAGACTGCAACATGGGAAAATCATGTGACCGGATTTTACTCTTTGATTTACAACTTATTTAGTTAATGGCTTGTATTAGTTTTTTTACGCAGCGCTAAAAGAGAGATTTAAAAAAGGGGTTCCATAGGCGAACTGTCAGCAGGCCGACTTCAGTTTAACACTTCACTGCCCGTGGACAGTTACGACTGTAGCGCCCCTAGCGGATTGTGATCTACCTAATCAGGAAAAATAGTTGTTCGTGTCTGTTTTAATAATGCCAATTTACTGGAAGACAGGTACTGGTATTATAGTAGTACAGTGTATATACTGGTGTAAGTACATTTATCATGTATATATTTTTGTAATTTTGGATTTTTTGATAGCTTATACATATTTGTCATAAGATTTGTCAACCTGACATTGCAATATTCAGTTTTATGTTGACAACATCATTCATGAATTTTTCTTATGATTTACATTCCAGGACAGTCTGAAGAAGCACCATCAGTTGAATTCTTTAAGGACAAGTAATCATAGTGCAATATATGGTGTCACAAAGTTCTCTGACCTTACAGATGAAGAATTCATTGGTAAATTGACTTTCAGTGATAAAATGATTAAATGTTAAACAGAATTAATTTATGGACTGCCAGAGGGCAGGATTGAAATTTTAAACAAGTACATTATTCATATATTTGATCTCAATATAATGATTGTTAAGTTGTGTGGAAAATATTTAGTCGGCCTAATTTTTTAATTAAATAAATTATAAAAGTTAACCCGAATTCGGGTTTTTATTATTATTCAAAAATTAATGCAAATGCTCTGTTTTAAGCTCAATACCTTGATGATACCAAAAAGCCACTGAAGCACCATCTTCTGAAGAGCCAGGAGGGCTATGTCAAGAATACACAAAAACAAAACACAGATCATAGTTATAAATCATTCCAACCACAGAAGTGGGATTGGTAAGATACCAATGATCGCATTTTAATAAAAGACCAGACTATTTTTTTAAACATAGTGCAAGTAAAGACAGTAATCTTGCAAAAACTTCACATCTCATCTGTGTTTCAAAACTATATATGCTGTTATGAATTTATTTTTAAGCTGTGATAATTTGTATTTACATTCATGTTTGTTTTCTTTAACTTTGAGGTATTGCTGAGTGATGCACAATTTAATAAAATTATACAAACAACTGGTAACTGATTTATTATTATTATTTTTTAAGGAGGACAGACTGGAAATGGCCAGTCATCACCAAAGTAAAGAATCAGAGATCTTGTGGGGGATGTTGGTAGGTACATGTACTTCACTCTGTACTGAATGAATTCTGTATGCCTTGAAAAACTTAGTTCACTCTAGGATTTTTGTCTAAACAGACAGTAACACCTTTTAAGATTAATCAAAATAATGAACCAATGAATTATGAATTTTGCAACCAAAAAGTTTTTTTCAGAAAAGTTAAAAATATATCAAACAAATTCAAACATGTCTAGACCATGCTGAGTGGATCTTGACCATGAAGTCATCATTTTTCATGAAGATTATATTTAAAAATTTTAAAAAGATAGAGATAAAACCTCATTTGTCCAAGCCAACACCTTGTCTCCCCGTTTTCCCCAGGGCCTTCAGTTCTGTGGAGTCAGTGGAGACCATGTATGCCATAAAAACCAAAGACCTACGTGATCTTAGTGTCCAACAAGTCATAGACTGTGCAGCCTATGGTAACTTTGGCTGTAGAGGGGGAGACACCTGCCATGCTTTATACTGGATGAAACTGGTGAGAGGATTGGATTAGTTTTTTCTATGGTTTTGGCATACTCTGGTGATTGTGAGAAAATTGCTGAAATTTCCAGGAACCATTTTTCTTTTTAAAAAGAAAGGTCTAACTGTTTATGTTGTGAGCCCAGAAATGATAAAATGTTTTTGTTACTCTAATGAGTTTTTATGCATTGTGTGAATTAAAACAAAAAGTTCGAATTTAAAAAGCTGAGACGGGATAAGACAGATTACTACTGGAGGATCATAAAAAGTCAGATGTTTGACCTAACTTTTTTATTATTTATTTATTATTTTAGACCAGAACACCACTGGTGACAGATCAGGAGTATCCTCTTACAGACACTTCAGACTTCTGTAAGATAGAATCCAATGCAACCAAAGGGGTGTCCCTGGCGGACTACACCTGTGATAAGTAAGTTTTCTACCATGTATCCTCTTCAGTCACCGACTTTATTGGTGAAAAGTCCACTGGAAACACACAGCTTCAAAAAGAGACCATAGTTATATTTTAGCCTGATAACAGTCTCTGTAACATTTCAAAACTAATAACATGGTGAGTATTTAAAATTTTATCAAATTAAGTTTCTTCAAGAAAAAAAATCACTTTTTATAAACCCTAGACTTCATGAAGAATTTCACCATATGTTTTCACTCCATTTTTACAGGTTTATAAACCATGGTCAATCCACTGAGGGCCAGATGGTCAGTATGCTACTTAATGGCCCACTGACCATATCAGTGGACGCTACATCCTGGAAAGATTACCTTGGAGGCATCATCCAGTACCACTGCTACAACTTCAACAATCATGCTGTCCAGATAATAGGCTATGATCTGACAGGTAGAAAGACGAGGGCAAAATTGCCCTTTTGAAAATTGATGTTCTGAAGTGATGTTTGTTAATGCATTATACATATTCCATCAAAAATTTCTAGCCATTGATACAGCAGAATTGATATCACATAGAAACCATGTATGTACTCTCTCTCTCTCTCTCTCTCTCTCTCTCTCTCTCTCTCTCTCTTTATTTGATGTTTGGAATGTACATTTCTACTTAATGCATTTGTATTACAGGCCCAGTTCCCTATTTTATCATCAGAAACTCGTGGGGAGATGACTTTGGTTTAAACGGTTATATCCATATAAGAATAGGAAACAATGTCTGTGGTGAGAATTTATTTATATATATTTTTTATTTATTTTATATCCTATGTGTGCAAAATTTATTAAACACTATGAAAGCAAAAGACTTCTTTCACACAAACTGTCAGGCCCATTTGTAACAATATTCTACAATTGATTAAATGACATAGAGTAGGAATTGCAGGTATACCCGTATTCAAAAAATATTTTAATGTGTATTAATATTGTTGTTTGATTTTGATTTTTTTTTTTTCATGAAAATATAGGAGTAGCAGAGGAGGTTTCCAGTATTCAAGTATAACACGGTACCCAAATGCTTCCTATCTTTAATGCTCGAGAAGAATCAGAGTCTCCACCAGTGAAATATGCACATGCAGAAAAGAAAGATGAATTTGTACTCAGTGTCTTCCATTGTAGTTGAAGCACATTATCTAGAATTATTGTACTTATTTGATTCATATAATTTTTTTCATGTAGATTATGAAATTTTTTAAGGTTAACATGCAGGAAGAATGAATTCCTGGAAAATTTGAAATTATATGGTGTATTGTCAGACTGCACCTTAAAATCAAACTGTTTTGTATTATAAATTTATATACATTTTTGTAGATAAATAATATACAATGTAATATTTTTTACACACCAAACATCCAAGCGTATCTGTAGGTTGACTTGTAAATCTTTGTCCATACTGCTGCCATTTTTGCCTCTTGTACTGTTGGGTCCAAATTATGTCTAAAACTTGTATGAGATGAATAAGTTTTCACACAACCTAAATGTTTTTTTTTTTTTCAGCTGTGACTGTACTGTGATATAACTTTATCGTTGAAATTGAATGAAAACGTGTCCCGTGCTTGGTCTCTTTCAAGGTGCTATTGAAAATATGCTTCTTGTTTGTGTAGACCTGTCAGTATCCTTGCACTTTCATATAAGACAGACGATGAAGAGTGCATTAAGATGTCATGTTCTAATAAATATATTTTGCATAAACACTTTGGGAAATGATAAGATTATCATATGTAAAATATTACTGAATTGTTTTTATATAAAGAGAATTTGATGCCTTGAAGGACCTCTCAAATGGCTTGTTGCAATAAGGTCACAAAGTATGAGAAATCGTGCATACAAAATTAAATATATATTTTTATTGAATAAAATGTCACTGAAATCTGAAATTGTTATTTAGTTTATTTTGTACTTGCTTGATAATCAAAAGAACCATGGCAATTGCAGGTAAGGATAGCTGTTGCCTGAAAGTAGATAGACTTCATTTCTTTCAACTGAGTTGAATTTTGTTCTTTTAGTATCCTTTATTTATTGAGTTTTGAAGTGTGGTACTAAAAGAAAACGACTCTAACAAATAAGTGGTGTTCTGAATAAGTATTGGCATTACAGTCAGTTAAACGCTGCAATCATTTCTTTTACCATGAAATTGTCAAATTCTGTTATTATTATTATTATTTTTACTATTATTTTACTACCAAAGAGGGAAATTCATGCTACATGTTTATATTTGTGTGAAAATCATTTCTACGTTAGACCTCTTAATAGTTTAGCTGGTTGAAAAATATCCGCTGGCAAATTCATTTCAACAGTCCAAATTACATATCAAAATTTTATTTTAACGCCGTTTCTCGAACATCATACCCAACAAAATTTGGATTGTTCATATCTGCGGTCGGGCGAAGTGATCTAAGATGATCTAACACCCTTTCACATTGTAAGGCCAGTCGCACACGCCGCTGGCGCTGCCGATTTGGTTGAACGCGAGTCCGTGCGGGCATTCCATACGGTAAGGCTTGTGACCCGGGACGCACATGTAATACTTCCCACAGTTGTCCGGGTCTCTGAACACGCCCTGTCCCTTCCATGAGCAGATGCTATCTGGCTTTTGGACAGACGAACCTGAAAAGGTGAAATGTAACTTTAAAAAAAGCTCAAGGTTTGTGTTCGGATCATTGTTACGCCAAACAAATGTTTAAGTCATACGGAGTGCTGTCTTTCACCCTAATTACGGAGCTCTGTTATGCTTTTACGGCTCTGGACTATTCTCCATGAGGCTATATTACAAAAGAAGATGAATCTTGGACTTTAAGACCAAAATTTTTTATCTAATTTTAGCCAAGATGAGAAACCAAAAGTGGCTCACTTCAATGAGGTCTTTATGTTTATAAGCAAAATGTAAAAAATAACTCATGTCACTGACATGTTTTCATTATTGTACACTTTAAACTTGTTTTGTGAAACTGGCCCTGCGACCAAAAATTGAAGAGGCAAATAACCCATCGTTAAAGGTAGAGGGGCTCCCTTTACCAACCTTGGCAGTTTTATCTAAAAATTAGCCCAGACGAAGTAAAAACGTGCATCATTTGCCTAATCCTTGCCACAGCCTTGCTATTTTTATATATGCCAGCTGCGATAGTTTCGTGATTATCAGGTTTTTATCAGGTAAAGGCCATGTCATGTAAAAGCCATGTTAGGCAAAGGGCCCTTTTTAAAAGTAGATTTGGACTCGGTATATACAAAATCTTCTTACGACCCCAGACATTTAAAATAATCAAATTATTTTTTTTTCAATGTGAACGGCTAGTTCAAAATTAAAATGAAAAACTGTGGAAAACCTTCTAGACTTCCTCAACTTAAGTTAGATATGATGTTGTCAAAGTAAACGATCCTTATATATAAAGAATATTTATCAATATTCTAAGACAACAAAGGTGTGACGAAGTTTGCGTACCTTCTCGGGTTATCAGATATTTAACAGTCATTAAAAATATTGGTGACGTAAAACTGCCAAAGCCAATCACCACATTGACAATATGTACATAACGAGTTTGATGTCCAGAAAAGAGGACTATCTACTACATATATATTTTAAAGTGTAATAATATACTCAACTTTTACAATTCAAAATCCGATTCGCAAAGAGCTTTGCTTTATTAAAATATTAAAATAACTACAGTATATTAGAATTATTTAAAAACAACAACGCTTCAATTTTGGCATCCAATGAACAGAGTTATATTAGAATCATGACCCCGGCAGAAGAGTGCCAAATAGGCCTACGTAGCGAGGGCAAGGGCGTAGAGGCATAGAAAATAATCGCCATAATTACCATCACCATATTTGCAATTGGCTTTTTCAGGGAAGTCGCACACTTTGTTTGTCTCGTCAAAGTGAGTTCCGGCGCCACAGCTCATGTGATACGAGGTGAACCCAGAGCCGGCGGGTTCACATATGTAGAATTTACCACAGTCCTTCGGGTCAGTGAAGTATCCCTTAGACTGGCACTTGAATTCTAAAAAACAGAACGTCTCCGTTAAAACTGTCCGCCAATCTAATTGTGGCACCGGTGGGAAACACAAACCCCATACTATACGTACCCTCTACCAGGGTTGCACATTGATTTTTCACTAGATATTCAAAGATCATGTCTCTGGTTAAATATGGTCAGTCTTCTAACTGTGATAGAGAAGAGGACAAAGAGGAAACATATTTTCCGCGGGCCTGGTAGAGGGTATACTATACCACAGTTTTAACTAAAAAAAAAATATATATATATATATATATATATATATAGAGAGAGAGAGAGAGAGAGAGAGAGAGAGAGAGAGAGAGAGAGAGCTCTTTTTGCCTCCTAGTTCCATTTCTGCTGAAAAGACGGAGGCTACAGAGAATAACAGGATCTGGTTTCATTAAGATTAGCCAAAAAAGAGACTAGGTACTTCATTAATGTAATGCTAGTAACTGTTGCCTGAATATTATGCATGTTAAGGTTACATTGCCTACCTGATCCAGGCGCCTGTGTTGGCTGCACGGGAGGTTTTGTTTCTGGTGCTTTGGTGGGCGGGTTTGTTTCTGGTGCTTTGGTGGGCGGGTTTGTTACTGGTGCTTTGGTAGAAGGATTCGATGGCGCCTTTGTTGCGGGTGGAACGGTAGTCTTCGGATCAGTAATAGGTGCCTTAGTAGATTCGGGCAGAGGCTTAGTTGGTGCAGGTGTAGGTTTCTCAGTTGGTGCCTCTGTTGGAGAGGGTCTTGGCGTTGTTTGAGGTAGGGACGGTGGTCCTCCGGCACCAAAGAGTCTGCTCTTGATGGTGTTCATCAAAGGATATCTCCCTTCACCACAGGAGGTCCCTGTGTGATCGTCCAGATCTAAAGCCCAGACCATTGCTCCGCCGAATCCTTCTCGTTTCAACCAGTCAACCTTTACAAGTTAAAGTAGCTATTTCATCCACAGGCTTAATACCGCATTAAAGGTATTACTTTGAAGAGGTAAAGTAGGCGATATTTCGTGTCTAAATAGAGCAGTTTTGGAGCCGATGGGATTCTATATGTGGCTAGAGTATAAAAACTCGCAAGAAGAAATAGTTTTCATAGGGCATTTTTCCATCAACACCTCGCCCCCTTTCCTTGTGATCCTGATCTCGCAAAGAAGAAGGGGTAACAAATGGTATGGTACCTGCGCATGTAGTGCAGATTTACAATCAGATTTTTTAGTTTTGTCTCTTCATGAAATACATGTTATTCATGCAAAAATATTTTACTATCACTCCATGGGCCTTTATTATCAGCAAAGGTTTCTCAGAAGCCAAACGTAAAGATAGATATGAACGACAGAACTTACGACCAACTGCCTACCCGGCAAACACAGAACGTTACCATAATGTGTCCATAACGTTATTTTTATGAAATTAACGTTATGGTAACGTTATGATAACGTTATGTGTTTTCTGGGTAGACCTCGTCGCTTACCTTGAGTTTCAAGCTTTGCGGGTTGTCGTATCCTACCCATTGGTCGCCCTTGTAAGCATATGGTACCTGGTGTTCGTTATGCCACACGCTGGTGGCGCCATTATTCAACATTTCACAAATCTAAAGAAGATAATAATATAATATAATTAAAATATCCGCGTTTTGTGCAGTTATTTAAAACAGTATTAGTTAATGTACAAACGTACATGTCGAGCGAGCTATAGACATTTTTAAAGGCAATGCCTCTCTCCATAAATAGCGTTTGACGAACTTTTTCAAATGTCTAATAATTAATCTCCTTTTTGTATGCTACTATTCTATGTTTTTTTTTTTTTTTTTTTTTTTTTTTTTTTTTTTTTTTGTTTACTTGCAAATTTTGTATATACGGTGCCAACGTCACATTTAAAGATGGGCCGAGTTTTCAAAAAAGTATCCAATATTTCATACTCATCAGTTCCACAAGGGGGTTACCTCATAATAGGACAAGAATCCACCCTCTCTGGTATATCTTCCAGCATTGGCCGCACCTTTGGCTGGCGCACCCATTCCGTTGTTTGCCGGATTGCTCAACGTAAAGCCGCGCCCGTAGGTGGGCATGCCGATGATCAGTTTCTCTGGCACCACACCCTGGCTTGCCCAGTATTTGGCAGTGAATTCCTGGAACCAATGTTATTTGTCATCAGAGAACCTTGCACAGGAATCCATGGCGAGCTGTCTTAAGACTTTTAAACATACGCCCTGACTTTGTTCATATATTTTGTATTAAACTTTTCCTGTTAACTGTTATCCGTTAGACCACATAATGCAACTTCCGGACGATTCAAATTTTATACATTTGTTTGATATAGCGTGGAACTTAGCATTTTTGAAGTAGAAACGAGGAAAAACTTTAATTCCAACCGTTATATGCATTTAATTCTTACCAAATTCAAGTAAAGGTCTTCTCCGGTTTCGTCTTTTCTTGGATAAAGAGGACTCTGGTGGCCGGTGACTGATTCCCAGGCTCCTCGGAGGTCATACGACATAAGATTCACGAAATCGAGGTACCTGCAACGTCGTCGTTAAATTAGACACTGTCAAATAACTCTAATTTGAGTGATCGTCCTAGTTCAGCACTAAGACGATTGACTTGCCAATTTGGCAATTGCGTCCACAACTTATTTTGAAAAAGTAAATATGTTGACATGATGTGCAAAATTATTTGAAAAAATAACATTTTGTGATAAAGGGTGATAGTTAGATAAATACCAAGTTAAACGAGCCAAATTGTTTTAGGAACCCCGATACAGGCCAAACTTTCAGTACGACATGTATCTTTTGTATATAAAGCACGAGCAAGCATCTGGCTTTGTGTGCCTTAATATCATCCCATGAAAATACCAAGGGATCCTTCTATTAAAACACCTACTTGCCAACAGTTTCAACTTCGTATCCATTGTCAATCGTTTCCTTGCCTGCTGGAACAGCTGCCGTCAGTAACAACCGTTCATTGCCGGTATTTCTAGCTTCGTCAATGAACGCTTCTTTCAATTCCTAGAACAGACCGAGTATATGTGAAAAACACGCACAGTTTTACTTTGACTCACTCGTGACAATTACCTGAATGGACACCCTTGACGAAAAGGAAAACAAAAATTCCTGTAAGGTTTTGGCTAAATATCACGGTCTGGGGTTTCCTTTGAAATTGGCCAACTGTCCTTTGTTGGACTCAGCTACTCACAGACGTCCTTAATTTTGCTGACATTTAGTCGTCCAGAGTGAATTTTAATTTTAAAAACTATATGGCATAAAGGAGTTCAAAAAGTGAATATACGTCACGTGAGCATGTGTCTTTGCCATGTAATATATATAGGCCTAATGATATATTCTTTAAGAGTCTAAAATCCATAAAAAATATGTTCTGTAGACTTAACAAATAAAATTAAAACTTAAAATAATTATTTTTGATTGAAAGGTTATTATATTAAAAGTAAAGAGAAGAATGTCCGATTACAATGTTCTGTAAAGTATAAAATGTCCACTCATATATTTTTTTAGATAGTTTTCAGTTTTTAAATCATCTGATGAGCTTATATTTCTTAGTTCTAATGGTAGACTTATTTACATACGCACGGGCCACGTATTCAAAAGATTTTCTCCAAATGTTTTAAGCCTTGCGAATTGAAGTTTTAATAATAATTGGTCCTTAGATCTTAATGTACGATTTGGTGTATAGGCCTAATGAGATACAAGGTAGCAAATGGGTCAGTAACAGAAACCCCAAAGAGTTAAAGAAACAAGCTGTCAATTTTAATGAAAATATACATGGTATATATGTGTAGATCAAGTTTATGATGAGGTGACTGCATTTTTGCTAGCAATATATCAAGAGCAGGAAAGTAGTAATACATGTTTCTTATTGATTGCTTTATAAAGGTCTTAAGGCGGGCAATGTCTGTGCACAACATTTAATGTAGATAATATAGACACTGGGTAGGCCTTCTAATATATTAAGGTTCCCACAGTTGACACTGTGCAATCTTATCCAAGAGCTAACCAAAGATAGCAAGTATGATATTGGTGTCATCGTGTCAAGATGCGAGAGACGCCCAGGCGATGATTAACTGTGAAGCTGGGAACTTGTGAAGTAGCAGATAGAATTCCTGTCATGGGGAGTAAGACAGCTGGCCGACATAACACGCCTTTATTTGATCATATCTCTCTGCCCTCGCAACTGTGTGTGTTCAAAGGGCTTGTTTCAAAACATATTGTCTTACCGACATCAAATATACAGTATAGTACACATGTAGATGGTTTAAACACTGCCATCTTTAAGGGCCAACCTCTTGAATATTTTAACGGTATTTTTCTAGGATTAGCAGGAATAGACCGCTCTGATTTATCTTATTTATAAAGATATACATATCTATAATTATCATGAAAATGTGCAACGTTTTAGCAAGAAAGTTTCGGGCACATTTGCCCTATGACTATATCAATCTCATACTATAGGAAAGTCTATAATTTTGGCAGTAGAAGTAAGTGACTTTTAGTAACTGACATGATGACTGTTTTCTTTCGGGTTTTCAATTGAAAATACGGCCCAGATTTCTAGGTGCAGACATACCTTGACCAAAGCAGTAAACCTCTGCTTGTCCTCAGGCGGACTCCCCCTAGCGGCGGGATATTCCCAGTCCAAATCCAAACCATCAAAGTTGCGATCTCTCATAAACTTGATAGATGTGTCAATAAACTCTCGTCTGTTAGCTGCTGTAGATACCATCTTGGTAAAAGGCCCCGAGGCAAGGTTCCATCCTCCAACGGCGATGAGAGTTTTCAAATTTGGATTCTGTTTTTTGAGGTTATTAAAGCGCTCGTATCTGGAATTAAAAATGAAATATTGTAATTTTCTTTCTTTCTTTTTAATCAAGTTTACTTAAAACATGTCAGTGCGTGAGATCTTTAACCAAGTTACAAATATACAGCTTAAGTACATGGGGAGAGAATTCCAAAGTTCATTACCATTTTCCCTCTTTATCTATTTTCGACTAGGCCTATTGTTGTTTTTAAAGGAACTTATGACGTCAAAATTTTAGGATGCAGAAAAAAGGGGTTTAATAAAGAAAGATTTACTGGGTTTTGACTTGAGTGTAAAACTCATATCTGGTTGTGAAAAGAGATTATTCTAGGTAAAGAAAATAAATGATGCATAAAATATTTCTGCCTATACTTTTTTGGCAAAATAGCAGAATGCAGCTTTTCACAACAGGGAGCTGTAGGCATACATAAAAGATGGATTAAGAAAAAAAGAGAAGATTTGATATATCATTTTTATAAAGAAACCAAGAACTGTGATTTTTCCTTTAATTTTAGCACAAGGCATGATCCTTATACAGTGTATGATATATTTAGTATATTTTGAATGCAACGCTGATACTTTGACAAGGTACAGTAAACCTGACTGATGATCACTTTGATTACGATGAAGTAACTATAGAGATAAGCCTGTTATAGGAGAATAGTAATTTCATCGTCTCACTACCTTTGCAAAATTAAAGATTTTAATCTCTTCCTATTTTTTTCAGATGTTGAATGGCAAGTGAAATACAGCTGTGTATTTTCTGTATAAATTTATGAGAATAAAGTGAGTTTCTCCCCCCTCCCCCACTTTTCCCTACTGTTGACCCTGACATATGGCCTTTCTTTCACTCTCCTTGAGTTTCGATTATTTTTATATTTATGTGCATTGTAATTTTAATTGCAATAGATAAATTGGTTTTTGAAGCTCTACATTATGTGTGTTTTAAAAATACTCTTGTACGGGTTGATGATTAACATATTTATGAGTAACCAGGTTTCATTATATCATTACTAAGATTGTTTTTTATACCCTGTCTAATTTGAACACAATTTTAACATCTTCTAAGCAGTGGGTATACATTTGAGTATTTACTAGTAAGTTTTTATTAAAAATAATGGGTAACAAATTTTAAAATTCCTTTATGTTGGTGACAAAATATGCTTCTTACGCCTGACATTTTATTAAAGACCCCAGTGGACGGATGAAACCCGCATACTCCGTGTTGGAAATAAACGTAATATTTTTTGTACTGTTGCGCGACTTGATCTATTTTCCAAAAGCTGACTTTCTCGCCTCGCCTTACATTTATCTGAAAATAAAGGTAAGATTTGTTGTCTTGATATGATTCAATTTATTTTCTGTAAACTGATTCGAAAAGGATTTGACGGTGCAACATGACACAGCATAAAAAAATAACAAAATATAACGGGGGTTAGATGTGTCACCTGCCTTAAGATACCAACTTCCTTGTTTGCAATCTACGTGTTTCCCATTAAAACCTCTTAGTTGAACGCACTCCCTTCCTTATTATTATTATTATTGGCTGAATGGGTGCTCGTGACGCCAAACAGGACATTTTGGTTTTGTTTTATCTTAGTAAACAAATCAATATCACACATGCTTAATCACGAAGCTTACTATACAGCAAAAAATAAAACGCATGTTCACGTCTTAAAGAAAAAAAATCAATCGCAATAGAACTGTCTGATCAGTGACTCATATTATGAATCAATAGCTGTGACAAATGTTAAGTCACGTCCCAGAAAGGAGAAGACTGTTATTTTGTTGTTGATGGCCGATTTCTAATGAGAGACGAAATCCAAATTTGATAGCAGGTTTATTACTCAGAAGTAGGATTGTGCACTAGATTTAGCCTATCTTTCGATGACGTGCACCCTGACCTTAAATACAATTCATTAACTCTTTCGGTGTCACGGGCCAATGAAAAAATAGTGTTGGCGATTTGATTTATTTTCAGTAGTTCAACATAAAAGTTTTTTCTCTGAGGCTAGACCCATGAGTTCCTCACATTTTTGCTATGTACGGGATTTTACAGCCCAGTAACACACAACGTGGCGCTATGTGACAGAGCAGCGCGTTGTTAAAAACATTTTCACTCGTTTACCAATTCATTCCTTTGATTTAAATGACAGCACGAGTGCGCGATTTACACAAGATTTTATGAATTGATATTCTTAGCTTTTTTAAAAAAAAATGTATACCTATGGGTGTTTGTTATATGTAAGTTGTGATATTTGAAGATTTTCAATTAAGTTTAAACTTATAATGTCAGTGACTTAATTGTATATGGAGTAAATGTTAAAGGATACCGATACATATTGAAAAGATAAGTGATCCTGTAAATGAGCATGCATTTAATATTAAATAACTTATTATTATATTTATATTTATTTTTGTTGTTAATGATAAATATGATGATGATGATGATGCTGTTGCTGTTGTTGTTATTGTTGTTGTTGTCGCTGTTTCAGTACTTACAAGCCTACAGACCAGTCCGTGCTCTCGTCATTCCATTCAAAGGCCGCCAGCCTGTTCCCGTTGAACTTGGCAAAGGCATAAATCAGATGGGTGCACAGGTTAGGGTCGATGTCTTCTGGGAAGAACTTCCCTGGCGAGGGACGGTACTGGGACCAGTTGGTGTGATAGCAAACGAACTTATAATCTTTACCTGAAATTACCATCCCAATGTCTAGGTGGTTATATGGTCTTCTAAGATATGTATATGTATGTATGTATGAATGTGTATATGTGCGTGCTGGTATTTTGTGTTTGTAAAAAGTGCGAGATGTGCCACATTAGTTCATTCTAATCGAGTTTATAATGACAAAGTGCTTATTATGAACAAATACGTTTTAAAACCAGGTTAAAAATTTCTTAAAAGTTACTTCCCAAAAGTGAAGTCTCTGGGTATTTATTTCAGAAAATTCAAACAACGCGGGGTCTAGGATACAAATGTAAGGAGAAACTGGTGATGAATAATTTCTGAAGATAAAAAGAACCACTCAAGAAATGCTACAAACTAGAAAAAGTTTAAGACCCTAATGAGAAGTAAGCCTTAGATCTGTTAGATTTAGAATAGACCTTTACAGTTTAAAAAAAAGACAACGAAAGGGAGCGTACTCACGTGATCTTTCCATTTTACTTTCACATATTTTTATCATTATGAAAACAATGAGCGATATGCATATACTTACATGTATTTTACATGCTTCAATGAGAATGAGAATGCTGCGCACTTAAAATGTCCATTTAAATCAAAATAGAATATACTATGAAAAAGACGACGCTAGAATCTACAAAACAAGATTATTGCCAAAATTCAGTTCCGTAAAGCAATTAAAAACATACCTGGTGTGGTGCTATAAGCTCTGAGGTAACTCCTGGCCTCAGCGTGCCATAGAAAGCAGCATACCAGTAGAATCACACTCACTCCCTTCATTTTGTTGTTACAGTAGTGTGTACACGGAGCGAGATATGAACCCTTTTATAGATCACCTTACCAAAGCTAGTCAGCGTGAGCCAACCAAAGGCTGATTAATAAGTTCCGATGACATATCAAAGGATAAGGATAGGGTGAAGGTTATCTGGGAGGTAGGGGAGGGGGGTGAACGATCTGGTGCGGGTTTTCTTCTTCTCTTTTTGTTTCTCTTTTTCTTTTTCTTTGAGTTGAGTTTGCATCTTACGCTTTCTTTATTTCTCTCCTTTATTGTTTTTCCTTTCTTTTTTCATTAAATTTCATTCATTTTTTTCTTGCTGTCCGCTTATTACTATATGAAATGTCAGGTATGCTATGTTCGTTTAAATTGAACTCATACATACATATTTTACAAGTATGTTATCATATTCCAGTCCTTTGCCTTTACTCCTTCAGAAAAATGTACACATTAGCTAAATGCTGAACCAAGTCCTGTTTGTATTATGTGAATCATTGCCCGATAATGCTAAATATATCTGTTTCTCCCGATAATATTTTACCAATAGGCATTGAAAATCCGAGATAAAACTCCTTCTGCGTTTTCTGAATTTAATGGCCATTGAACTGATTTTTAAAATATCCATCCTATTAATAAGGTAGAGCGAGGCTATTTCCTTGGATTGGCCCGCTATACCCTGGTTAGGACAGGGTGTGGGGTAGTGTGTATGCGTGGGGGGGGGGGGGGGAGGGGGATATGCCTCATTGTCTTTTGCCTTCATTGCAGCTTCGCTCACGTAGACCCCTAATGATAACAGCAAGGGTCACCCTGAGGGAGCTATAAGTGCAATGCCCTGGAAGTGCGTCCATCTGTGTCATCGTGATCTTAAAGGGATAACAATTGCTCGTTTGGGCCAAAAACGGGTTCATCTGGGGTAAAGGACGATTTTCGTATACACGTACTTATCAATGGTTAATGAATCGATCCCGACATCCAAAGTTAGTCCAAGTTTTTTTTTTTCTAAAAAGTTTTAATTTTTGTTACAATCTCTTTAGAGATTTTTACGGAAGTATAGCCATCTTTGAAGTTCTGATCTGATGGCAAGCACAGAGTCCAGAATAATTGCGACAACTGCTATTTTTGTGGTAAAATGGAATTGATCATATTTCCATGAGTAAATTACAATGTATTTATTGTGAAATATAGATCTCACTCAAATAGCTGTTATCTCTTTAATACATGCAGGTTATTCGGTGTGTGTGATACGATAGTCCTTTGATTGCGATCTCCGTGTTTTTCATTAAAATCTCTAAGTTGAACGCACTCCTTGCTAAAGCCAAGTGGTTCTTCAAAAGTTAACATAGGAGTGCAAGTACGCGTCTGGTTCAGGAGGTGAAGACTAAAACAATTAGGGTTATAACCGACCCGCATGCGGTGATCTAAAATTGATTGCTAGCATAGGGGAGACCGGGGCTAGTTGGACCCCTGGGTAAGTTGGCCCCCATCAAGTCTCTTTAATAAAGTTACTTTAAGATGCTAAATTATTTCATTTGGACTCACTGCCGACGCTTTCTTAGCACTATTGGAAACGGTCACTTTACAAAATGATGTGATCAATTCTTTTACTCCATAATTACTTTGTCATAAATTGAGGGGGGGGGGGGGTCAACTTACCTTGGGGTCCAAATAGCCCTGGTCTCCCCTAACTTGTATTTGTATGTTTCAGTATTCATTTGTTTTCATAAAATGCCTTTAATTGGTTTTATTGTGGTTAGGCCTACCATTCATTATTGTCATATTCCATTGTGTTTTATATCGGTGCTTGTAGTTCTGCTGTTTTGGGTTCTCAGCATCGATGTTTCTAAAAAAAAAGTATAAAATCTATGAAGTAATGCAATAAATGTTCATAAAATGATTTAAATACCAAGGGGCACATGCTGAGAAAAAAAAATCAATTTTCAGATTCACACAACCTACTAGCTGGGTCGGTCTAGCTCTGAGGGTGATTCTTGCTAAAGTGGAATCAGCTTAATTGTCTGACGCGCCTCCTCGAGCAGCTAGGGGGTAATTAAGCCGAGTGCACGTGAAAGCCAATTCCACTGATTGCACTTTGGCAAGTGTCCACTGCAGAGCGTCCAGCCCAGCTAGTACGATTTGTGACTCTGAATGCGCCATAAGAAGCATATGATGGGCAAAAAGAAATGGCTACTACTTGCAAAATGTTAACGAAGGTTGAATAAACGATTTATAACACTGTTTGGCTGCGCCACGGGTAAAAAAAAACTACTCTCTACTAGGACTACAGATTGATTTTTCACTAGATAGTCACAGATAGTCACAGAAATGTCTCATAGCTAATTCATGATGCAAGTACAGATAAGTTCACATAATTAGCTAGAGGCATATATGTGAATATCAAGTGAAAATTAATCTATGGGGGTAGGTAAAAACTTTGAGTTTAACAAAATCACACTTTTGAGTCCCCCCCCCCCCCCAGCACTGTTATTATGATGAAACCCGGGAACACGATGTTCAGGGGGAAGGAAAGGGGAAAGAAGCATATACATTTTATATTTTAGCTCATAATTACCTTGACAACTTTGAAAGACGTTGACCAGAAATTGCACCAATCGTAATCGTAATTAATCATTTCATCAGTTGACTTTATTTTGCTTTAAATGAACTGTTAGAGGTGTTAACAGCCATGCCTCATACAAAATTATCAAATTCTTAAGCTTCCATTTTAATTTTAATAATGCACAATTCGGAAATTAAATGACGACCAATAACTTATTAGTCTATATATACTTTCAGTCAGTAAGCCTCTGTGGCCCATTATATAATAATAATAATAATAATAATAATAATAATAATAATAATAATAATAATAATAATAATACAATATTATTCGTGCTGCGACCAAAACAATTTTTACGAATGAAGTAGAAAATGTCTGTTGGTTGGGAAAAGAGTTGTGATGAATTTGATTTGTAAATGTGTTAGATGTGATTAAACACATTTTTTTTCGAGGACTTTAACGTGAAGATTTATTTATTTTGGTCATGCATTTCTTTGTTTCTAAAATACTTTATTCATAATATTTCTTTTATTCGTTTATAAATACATGGATTCTGCAGTTTTACTTCAACTTTTTACATTTTGTATTTATTCACTTTGGCGCTTTAAGCCATATACCCATGAAAAAAAAACAATTTAACTTGACAGAAACTATTTCATACTATAGATGCATAAAATATCTTCCAGAAGCTACAGTTCCGGTCCGTAACATGTTTCTTTTTCATTTTCAAAAGGATTCTATTTTTCATTGATGTTTTATCAAAGTTTACCGCTCCGATAAAATTCGGTTCGGTTATTCCGATTTTGTAGGCCTGTCGGACAAAAGACGTCGTAAACAGCTCCCTGCGCCTTTTTAGTGGCCAACTTTGTGAACGGTGTGATTAGCGTGCAAATGCAGAGATTTGAAAATGAATAACCTGGAACACATCAGATCTGAAGCTGGGGTATATATTTCTGGAGTGAGGATATTACATTACACAGAATTAATAAAATAATTAAAATTAATTCATTTTGAAAACGAATGACTACTTCTGTAGCATTGCTCTCGATATTCTAATAAAATGTCTTTTATAATTTTGTTTAAACCATAAAGTCAAGTTAAAAAGTGTACAACGATGCGATCGATTGAAATTGCTGATCGATTGAAATTGTTTGTAACGAGCAGTACTAGACGGTAACATAGAAGATTTTCATACTCTGATACTGTTGTCATTCCGCAGGGACTCTCGCTGAGTGCAGTAAGGCCGCATTCACAACAGCGGACTAACAAAATCCGCGGAAAAATATGGCGACTTACTTAAAAGCTTGCTGCATAATCCCCTAATACACACCGAGGGAATTACCCGCTGGGGTTACGAGACAAGCATTCAAGTGTACATGCGCCCTAAGTTTAACAAATTTACGCGCCTCCTCTCGAGTAGAATACAGAAAAGCTGCAAGTACGTCGGAAACAAGAGGAGGCATGTTAGTCTGTTAAACTGATTGCATTCAGCAAGAGTCTCCGCGGAGTTGGATCAATCTAGGCAGAACGATAGTTCCATTGGGAATGAGCCCTAAAACGATACACGTTATTCAACTTATTCAAGCTGTTGACTTTCAGTTTGAAATAAAGCAGCTGCAAAATTTCCAATGAAAAAATTGTTTTCAGTGTTAGGCTGCTTTCACATGAAAAATCTATTTTCTAAAAAATCTAAAAATCTATTTGCGGTATCATGTGATCAAAGTCTGTGCCCTGAATACCCCACGGCGTAATTACGGGCAGCGCGAGCCAGTTACTTCCAAAGCTGTAATTAATTTTCGGCGCTGCCAGTAATTACGCCGCGGATTTTTAGAAAATAGATTTTTCATGTGAACGCAGCCTTACATATTATATGGCACAGCAGAATGACTAGAATATTTCCTGGAAAAAACGGGATTACTTATCTACAAAAATATTTATCTAAATTGTTAACGGTGTCCAAGTCATGTACAGACAAAATGCAGTTAATATTTAAAGGCGTTTCTTAATAGTCTAGATATTGCCACTAAAATATGTTGGAGAATAGTAAAAGCACCATTACATTTATACAATATTATATATCAAAATATTTCCATCATTATCATTTCTCTTAAACTTCAAACCATTTATATTATAAAGTAAAATTCGCTGAACGATTGAAACCGTTTGTAACGAGCCGAATATGACCATACAGTAGGCTAGCAATAGTATGTAATCAATTTTTAACAGCGCTGTATACATGCTCAACTATCATTGTGCTATTGTATCTAAAACGATACATGTAAGTTAGCTCATTTAACCTATTTACATTCAGTTTCAAATGAAACAGTTTTCAAAGCCTCCAATGGAAAAAACATTTTCCATATTACTTCTTATTTAAAGTTGCACACACAACTAACTTATTGGAAAACCCGGGACCATCTATCTCCAAAAATATTTATCTAAATTGCTAACACTTTCTTTTAAATGTACAGGCAAAAGGCAGTTAATATGTTCCCTATATGGTGTAGATATTGCCAGTGTAAATTTGAACTGGAAAATAGTAAAAGCACCATCATATATGTAAAAAAAACAACATCGCACTATCATTTTTCTTCAGATTCAGTTTGCATGAGTATCCTTTATTTTCTGCATTCTCATCTTTTTATTTCTGAAACTCGTGTGATACCAAGCAAGACACGCTACAGTCTTTAATTGAACATTTCTACTGTAAATTCTACATTTTCCCCTCACCGGATATATATTTGATGAATTTTTCAATGTTCATTTTCATTTCACACCAGAAATATGAGAAACGTAAAACCAACACTATCTTTCACGGCTTTTGTTCCGGAAATTGCACTTCTGAATTGACGTATATTATCTCCATTAGAGCAGCTTGTGGAGATCTATCCCTTCCTGGCGTCCTATTTGTAACCGTCATCTTTCCATGGAGACAACTATATTTCTAAAGCGTTCGTTTTCGGTTTCGACCTCAATAACGATTGGTTATTTTGGCGAGTTTGCAATAACTGCGTCGATTCTTTAGTTTTTGGCACATTCTTCTGGAGCACACCTAACTCTGTGCGTCTTTGGAGCACTCTCTCCTCGGGTGGGCTCGGATCATTGACGATAATAACCCCATCGCTTTGCCCCTCGCACCATGTAGTGTAAAAGGCCTCTAGCTCACTGATTTCCAAGTCGTGAACCGCAAACATCCTCGAATCAAGCGTAGAACAAACGTGTTCCTTATCATAGTCCGTTGGATATAGAGACATTCCGTTGAGATTGACTGGGAACACGTTGATGGCGCGGGCAAGAATGCCAGTTACAAAGACATCTTCAAGGTGAATCATGGGGAGAAACGGGGCCACCTTATACAACCTGTGAACAACGTCCATTGACATTACGTATATTGGTCCATGGGCAAAACTCGGAAAGTACCCGTAAGGGTATTCATCAAATGTAACGTCCCATTTCGGTTCATCATCTCTGTGGACCACGTCTTCAGAAGTCACGTGGCCGCCGAGGAACCCCCTGGTGTACCGCCCACTCTTTAAAATACGCCTCAGAGTTTTTGCGTTGAGGAAAACGTCGTCATCCATTTTGACTAAATATTTGGCATTGTTACAGTGCTGCGACGCCCATTTTAGCATCATTATTGACTTCACTGATAAGTTCCGGTATGTGTCAAGGAAATCAAAAGCTATTATGTCATTATACGCTTTACTTTCATATTCCACAGCTTCCCATAGGGGAGATTTAGAACTACCAGTCCGATCGCGCCCTAGCATAAAAGCAAGGCGAAACGGTGATTTTGCATTAAAAAGATTTTTGGTAACCCGTCGCAGTGTGGCCCGCATGTAATGTGACTTTGGGTGGGTTATAACGATTATGATCATCTCGACTTTTCCATCACACAACGCATCTGGAGACAGAAGTTTGGTGTACGTAAAGTTGTTCACAGGCCGTGCCCTTGGTACAAAGTAACTCGGTGGTGGCTCTTCCAGGGTAGTCTCCGCAGGCTTTGTGAAGCGACTCCTCATCATTGCAATTTTCCTAACTTGTTGATGAATGTCACCTTTACCTAAATTGACAGAATACTGGAATGCTTTATTGTTTCCATTAAAGGCTTGCTCCTCTCTGGTGTGCAATGGTTGGTAATTTCGTATCGTGTGGAGATGCTTATCTACATTTAGAGGTAAATCGGCGTTAGTTTTGGTGGGATGAACCATTTTCCTTGTATTGGGGACCTGGATATTTTCAAAGTGTTGTGTGCCAACTTTGCTGCGCTGTGGAACATTTTGTATTACATTTGGAACAATATATTTGCTGTTAAGCTCTTGTGGCCTGTTCTGACGCGGTATTTTTGTATGGGTCTGAAAATTAACTTTGAGAGTATGTTCGCGTTCAGGCGTAGGCTTGGTTGCCTTAATGTAATAAGAATTTCTGACAGGTAGTTGTGAAGACACGAGATCCACATCCATGGGATTGTCGATATAGCGAGAGGGGGATTCCTTTCTCCGGGGTACTTCGAATAACGTGATCCGCTTAGTTGTTGGAAATATTTTCCTTTCTATCCCCATTTTTGCAGGCATGGCCATCATGCCCATTGTAGCCCTACTCGCTGGAAACTGTGACGGTGTCATCGATAGATCGGTTATAGTATTCCCAACAATAGATGTTGATGGAGCCGTTGTCGGGACAGCAGAAGTCGATGTAGTTGAGAATCCAGTACTGGATGGCGGTTCTACATGCTCGTCATCGGCAATACTATACAACTCCTCTCTGCTTTCGTTTTCAGAGTCCCCCTTCGGTTTTCTTCCGCTTGATTTTACAGCTTCCTGTTGTATATGTCGTATATAGGGAGCTGATGGAGATGGATATACTGTTTGTGAAACGTGTTTAAGTGGAGTACTAGAATTCCACTTGCTTCCTTTACGTTTATGAATGATGAATTTCTTGTGATAGTTTTCGGTGGAATGATAGATTCGCGTATATGCCATAAATGTCCACACAGACATACATATGAATATTACCAGTGCCTTTTTTCGCATATTGATGGGAAAGATGTCACAAGTTCTTCAGTGCTTGGAAGTTGGTTTGCTCATTTATCGGACCCTCTCTGGTCTAGGTTCTTAGCATGGATTGGCGATTCAAAAAGGTCCTCCAACTGAATAGCTATTAGATGGCTATCTTCAATACCATGGTTCCTGTAAAAACAAGAAAATTGCATTTTTGCTGCAATTCGAAAACTTACTTTTCAATTGTATAATTATCACTGATTGGGGGTAGTCAATGAACTAGTAAATGGTTGGTTATACATCTTAATATGTTAACAAATAAATGAAAAACTGTTAATTACTCTATTTCTAAATCAAAACTTTAAATTACTCTCCAACCGCTTTTCAGGTGTGAAACTAAAACTATCACCTTCCTACAACACAACAAAAGAAAATGGACAAATTATTTGAAATAATATCAGACCTGTGTCGAATACGCTCACAATCCAAACACAAGAGCACTTAAGTTAAAAATTCACGTACAATCCTACTAAGGGTAACTAAACCAAAGACCTTAATTGGCAATGATTTTGATTGGTCAAATGTTTGCATAGCTCAATGACAGAAGGCACCAGTTTGCCCAATCAAAAAGTCTCATTGTAAAGCATCACGGGATTTTATACCACTAAGGCCTGCAATATAACAAAATTAATGCTGGCTACAAAGAATGCACAGTAAAATTGAGGTGAAAATATTTTCAAATATCATTTTCGTCAATTTGTGAATTAAAAATTACACAACAATGTAGAGATGTCTTAATAGCTGTAAGACCTAAGAACGAAAATGCATTACATATAGCAATAACAAGCATTATGATCCTTCACTATGTGTAATGAGCCTTTGGAGTAAAATATTAGCACACTGTATGTATTTTTCAAAGATCGCATATCTTTGGAATAAGTTAAAATGATCCATTGGGGTAAAATATAAATATGTATGTTTAATAGATTGCATAGTTTTTTGTTTTAATTCAGGTGAATTTAATTCAGGTTAAACTGATAGCATCACGTAAAATAACAGGTGGTACGCAATCCTTTTTATTACATAAATATGTATCTTGAATAGATCGTAAATGTTGATATACCAAATGTGAGGTAGCTGGTAATTATTTGCAGATTACGTTGTGCTACAGTACTTAAGACTTCATTCCTATAAAGATGCGATCGGTGTACGTTGATCTGCAGGAACTCTCGTTAAGTGCAATCACCTTAATTGAATCTCACTCCTCGTAGAGTTTCCAACATACTCGTATAATCTCCAGCTTTTCTGTATTCTACTTAACGCCAGGAGGAGGCATGTTAATCTGTTATGTCGACTGCACTCAGCGCGAGTCCCTGCAGAGTTGGGTCGATCCACGTAGGTAGACTAAGACCCCATTCCCAGAGATTAAATCGATCCAACTAGATCAACCTAACTCCCTGTCAGCTGAGCGGGCACGACACTTAATTACCCCCTTACAGCTTGTAGTAGGCGGGACGGACATTAAAGCCGGATTATCTGACAGTAATCTAGTGAGACTCCCCACGGGGATAGATCGATCTAAAATCTATGGGAATACGCCCCAATTGTGTTAATCTGAATGCACCCTAAATGATATCCACATGGCTAGAGACACTTCAGGAAGTAATTAGCTACTTAAAGTGATGCAATGGGTGAAGGTTTTGCAGCTGAATGGTTTTAATGTGAATAGCCAGATTTGTACTGGCGAGAATTTGCCAAAGAGTTAAATGGGTAACTTTGAAGAAAGATTATTACAAAAGAATACAAGTTTCAAATATACGGGCTTACACATTGTAACAAGCTAGACGACACAAAGCAAGGCAACATTTCCATCTCTGTTTTGGTTTGAGATAGTGTTGTTTTTGGCCCGTTGCAAATAAATATTGCAATGCATACAAATCTTTAAGTACAGCATTACAATATGTCTACATGGGTTTGCTTGTTCTGTCTCATCGTTATTCTGTGCATTTGAAAACTGTATAAAATGAGGTGACTTACAGGCACATGGTGATTTGTACATATCTTCTTCACATATTATGTTAATAAATGCTATACAACATGTATTTTAGGGCGTATTCCCAGAGCTTTTAGATCGAGCTATCCCCGCGGGGAGTCTCACTAGATTACTGTCAGATAATCCGGCTTAAATGTCCGTCCCGACTATTACAAGCTGTACGGGGGTAATTAATTTCTCGGCTGACAGCTATTTAGCGTTAACCCCCAGGGAGTTAGGTCGATCTAAAGTAGATCGATCTAATCTCTGGGAATGGGGTCTTAGTCACATTGTCTGTGTCTACAATTTTACACTGAACTTTGCTTTGCTCGGTAAAAACGAGCTTTTAGCAAAACCCTGGGTCGCCATGATAAGCCAATCTGATCAGTGTAACCGCTCCTTTACTGCCCTCTCCTTGCCTTGGCGGAGGGGTGGGGGAGAGCTGTGAACGTGACAGCTAACAGCTGATACAGTTCTCGGGCGATAGCTATTCTTAGATAAATTGTCATCAAATTCTTATCGCCTGAACGAGAATTTGGCCATTTATACAAATACTCACTGAATTGCAATCTATTTTTTATTTAAAAAGGCGGTTGTATGATCTAGTTGAAAAAAATCTGGTCATGAAATTGTATATTCGTGTACCTAAGTTTGCAAATTCGAATGAGCAGTTGTCGAAACCAATTTAAAGAGGATATGTATTTTAATTTTGTCAAATTTAAAGTTTTTGGGTGTTTCACACGTCATAGTTCTCCACTTTTTTTTATCTAACATCCAAAATAAAGCAAATCAGGATTTCTTGGTGCAAAACGCCCCTTTCTCTCATATAAATACTCGAATTATTGATTCGATGGGAAGCGTTAACTGTCTAACAAAAAGACATAGTTACTTGAAATTGTATGTTTCCTAGGTAAATGAAAAATAGGATGCTCAAAATCCCATATTTCCTCATACAGTCGATAAAGGCATGGGCGATTCGATGTTTTCATTTTCGCCAATATCCACGTTTACACAAACGCTCCGAGACTCCGCTAAGCCTTCGCGGCTCGTTTTAAATAAGTAACATAAAATCCAACATTTCAGGTTGAAACGAAAAAGTCACGATTTGCATGGTAGCCAACTTCCGCGAGTCCCGCGGATACGGCGCTAATCCGTCTTAAAGATAATACACAAAGGCACATTTCTTGGAGCGGATGTTGATCCAACTATTAAGTATCTTCCCGTTAGACTGAATGAAAGTGAAATCAATAATCAGGGAGACGGTAATCTAATTTTTTTGTCATTTGAATAGCAATAGAAAGATAACATTGTAGATACCTAGAATAATTTCTCCTCTAGGAAATATTAGTATAAGTATTAGGTTCCCTTATGAAATTATTGCCATATCATTGAAAATTGCGTTTTATCTAAGCACCTGAAGGGTATCAGTAAAAACATAGATCTTTCATCTGAATCGATACCATTTGAATGACAGTATGAGACGATGTTCACGAGATACACATATCTCCACATAGCCTATATAAACGTAGCATATCATAAAAAAATTTACCACTATATTTGCTTAATAATGTCATTTGCATCCCTCATTACCTAATGTACTGTTAGATGCATTCTACATCAAATAACCAAACAATTTCTATTACATCTGTTGATAATCTTCTTTTGGCCACTTACCACCAACCTGGGTACTACGACAAAGTACTGGTCTACGCTCTGTTACGTATAAATCTTCACAAGAGATTGTTGCTGTAAGCGATCTTGAGAGATTATTGGGACGAACCAGTCACTCGAGAAGCAACGGAATTAATCGGATGGAATCAAGGGGCCCTTTCCGACAATCCAATCTACAAACCGATCCAGTCAACAGAATGAGAACAGTCGACAGCAGTTACTGAGCTTGATAAAGTGCCCCAATAAACCCGCCTAATATATCGAACAACTGGGTTTTAGTGAGTACCCCAGTTATAAATACGGAGAACTGCAAACGGCCAACAGGCCATGAAATTAAATTATACCTCGCCCATAACTTCAGCTTAATCTGAAGTACCATTAGCTATGTTTTGTAAATATTAGACGATAACATGTGTTTAAAATACAGGTCAATATCGCTAGTCCACGGCCGATCTGCGAAAAATCGATTCCGCCTCCTTCCGCAGAACTACGAGATCAATCCGGAAATGAAAAACTGCAAAGCTCAGCTTTGTTGCCACCAGTTTTGTATGAAAAAAGAGTTGGGTTCAACACCAAACTGCAGCTGATGGCGGCCCTTTTTTTTGATAATAATCGCAAACGCAAACCTGCTATCATGTAATGGTAAAGACATTTTTCCCTTTTACTGGCTTGCAATAATTACCTCTGACAAGGAGGTTACGTTTTTGGTCCCGTTAGTTAGTTTGTCTGTTCGCAACATTAGAAAAATGTTTATGGACGGATTTTGATGAACATTTCAGGATGGGTAACAAATGAGCCAAGGATTATAAATAATTAGAGTTGAGGAGCTGGGGTACGGCCTATTATTAAGTTACTGTTTTATAAGCAGTAGTAATTACTTCATGGGTTTTTTTTTTAATGGTACACGTCACAGACATGATTTGCAATCTGTGGCCTGGCTTCTTGCATTTGTCGGAGGTCTGCCCTCCCTGAGAGCTTCTCGCGTTCTACCTAAATCTTTGCTCACTGGCAGGTCCTTTTTTCAAAGTTGGCACCCGTTTATCGGATGCCATTTACTTAAATTATCTTCATAACTGCATTCATATCAATTTCATGATATATCCGTAATGCGTCCAGAGAAGACCACCATTGCCAGACATAAGCATAATGCTGAAAGCAATATACTGAGACCGCCCTCTTTTAATGCTATCTTTTAAATGCAGCAGTGTGGGTTGTTTCCAAGGACAGGCCAAATTACAGGTTTACTTATTTGTTTGCCACGAAGCCACATTTAAACCTAAAACCCATTGCACCAACTGCGTACATGTAACTATGAGGCCTTATTCGTTATTAATGAAAATGTTCCTTCCGATACTTAGGTCCACCAAGGCACGATTACTCTGCCACATCATGTATATTTTAGAGCTGTTGGAGTGGAATGCAGCGTTCACTGCCTTATACTTACCGCACATATCCATGTTACATGTACATCTACGATGCACTAGATATACCTTATACCTTTCATCACCTTATCTGACACTTAATTTATAATAAAAAACCAGATATATTATAACTTGCCATATCATATTTACATGTTATACATCCATTTTATAAAGGCAGCGGTTAAAATTGCTTCACAAAATCCAGTATATCCAGTATGCTTAATCACTAGTGCATTCTCTACCGTAGTTCGGCGCATTAGTGACTAGTTCAGTTACAAACCTGACATTGTATCCTTCAGTTTAATAGTTCTTGTATCTATTATCAAATAACTGAGGCAGTTGAGTCGGTTTGTCTTAAAGAAAACCGAAATCCGACCTTCGATGTGAAAGTTGCTCTTTCATAGACTCGTTCCAGACACATACTGGTGGAGGAGCACCAAAACAACAACTATTTCACTTTCAGGATGCGGTTATCTTATATTCATAAACGGGAAAAAACTACTCCTACTGTTCACTTTTGTGATAAGGCAGTGACACCTTCCAGGTTCACATCTAATATGGCGGCCAATTCATGATGGCATCTGGATTCAACAAAATTTTAATGGTTATAATGCTTATTTTTGTTAATTGCTATTCGTTTTGATATAAGAAACTTAACACTTGGCTACCAGTATCTATGAACGATCCAACTCTTTTTCCCCACGAAGTACGCCAAAAGCTTATGGTTCCCATTTCCAAGCACAAGCATTTAAGCCATCTTGTCAAATCCCACGCTTTTATCACAGAAATGAACAGTCATGTTTTATAACAGCTGAACTAATCTCGAGAAATGAATAAAGGATTGATATCTACCCTCTGATATCAGGGGCCTCTAAAATAGTAAAATTATAAGTATATGACACGCGATACGATATTTTTGTATCAGACTCCTAGAGACCCCCCCTGCAAGAGCAAGAAGAAGCTGTCAGAAGGGCATCGTGGGCTGGGATTGCTCTTTACACCCGGTTGTTAATAACGCTGAGAGGGGTGTAACGACAGGGCTACAAAGAATTTTCTATGTCTGCATGTGTTACAATCTTCCAACTTTTTGCCCTTCACCTTTCAATCCTCCGCCCCCCCCCCCCTCTCCCTCTCTCTCTTTCTCTCTCTCTGAGAGAGCGGCCAGAACAAGTACCGACTATTCGTTTCACACTCTGCTCGGTCAGTGTAAAGTTAGCCCTTGTTCTGGCCGCTTTCTTAAGTAAACTCTCTACCATCTGAGTGCATGTTCCAGGGCTTCAAACGCTCGTTATCTTAAGGTCAAACCCTTAAAAACTGCACCCTACACCAGGGTGGCAGATTATATCAAAATGACTGTCTATTTATCTAGAGACATATCTGTGAATATCTGTGAAAAATCAATCTGTCGCCCTGGTAGAGGGTATAAAAACTGTGGCGTGACTTAGAACAAAGATGCTAGTAACTATATGTCCCGTTACGTGAATTAGCGTGCTGAAAGATCTGTTTATGCATAGATAAGAAGAAAGGTTGTAGAAGTTAGATTTTCTTTGTGTGTAAGCTTTAAATAATATCTAAAGGGTTGATATCTTTTCATGGGCGACCCTAGCAAGTTCAGCACACGCATGCTATGCAACAGATCTTAAATAATTATATACGATAGCTTATCAAACGTCGCCAGTTTTTTAATGTGCTATAATAAATTCATGAGTGCAAATGACTTGTGGAGGCCGCTGATAACATGATAAAAAAAACACACCACGTATAACATTAACTTTGAACAACTAGAGGCGTCAACTTGTGAGAAAAGCAAGCTTATTCATAATTTGCAAATAATAAATGTCGCCTTCGTTCATATAGCATTTGACATTTATGAAAACAAGCGATGATTTGCTTAATTTCAGCTTGCGGCGCTATACAGAGCTATACCAAATTGCTTCCGTTTTTTTAAATATCTTTGGTTCCAAATGTTGGTTTGGAAATGGGAGGGGGGTCGCGGAAATGATTTCTTCGATATCGTTTTCTAGTCCTTACCGTTTTTGAAAGGTTTTATTTAATGCATAGTGCATCTAAGGGCCCATTTCCGAAGAGACTATTGCACCTGCACTTAGTCGATAAACCATAAGACAAATGCACTGACTGAGACATACAAAAATATAAAAAAATAATAAAATAATAATAATAAAAAAACAGGGGTTCAAGAGATTATATGTGACCTAAATCCAAGAGATGGGGACACAGGTCCTTGCGGTCTAGGAGGAGAAGCGGTAACGGTGACTTGTACGATACGGGCCGGGACTAAAACCATGAGTACCGCCAGCGTACACGCTGGTGGTACTACATGTAATAATCAAAATGAATGAAAATAATACTGAAAATCACACGATCGGTACATCCGATAGTGTGTAAAAAAAGGAAAGGCAGACCGTTAAGGGACTGTTTATTGTAGGGTGTGGCAGAGGCATGTGACCGTGCGGTTGTGTCCGCGCTGAACATTGCCGGTGACGTTTTAATTTGAAGAGTAGGAGGGCGAGAGGAGAAAGAGAAGAGGAAGAGAAAAAGAGACCAGAAAATGTCCTCGTAAAACCAGCTATTTTAATAGACATAATTCAAAAATAAAATAAGATCAAACAATTAAAAAAAAAGAAAAAAATGTTACAACTAGATGGGACTGTCGCTAAATGCAATCAGATTTACACGCCTCCTTTGTCTCCAAGTTAAAAGCGCTCCGTTCATTTGATTGCATTCAGCAGGAGTCCCAGCAAAATTGGATCAATCTACGTAGAACGATTGGGAACGAGCCCTAAAGCACATATGTACACCAGGATAATCACATGGGCTTGAATGCAAATAATCATCTCGAATTAGGCAATTTAAATGGAATTCGAAACCAGATTAGTAGGTGTTCAAATACTTCCGTCTTGACGCTCGTTGTACCCGCCGCTCTCCCGTGGAGCTATACAAAACCATCTTGTTGACAATATTGTATCAGATAGTTGTTCAATTCACACAACCCGTCGAATGTTTTTTCACTGTGCTTTGGTTTCTATGCATAATATAAAACGACTGTGTATTGTGAACAACAAGAAGTGCGCAGTTCAAGCAAGCACATGGCGGCCAGACTCGATAGAATCGACGTGACATCGACATCTGAATGACGTTTTTCATCTGCAGTGGGAGGGGAGGGGAGGGTTAACACATTTCTTTGACGCAGCATGCAACAGAAGGGCTGTTTGTATTGTCAAGACACCTTATTGAGTCAAGAGCATTTATTTATCAGGATCTGGCTTATCGATTTGTTCATTATTTGCTGATCATATCTTTGGGGATATTTAGTGAGATATAAGTAGCCATACAAAAGTATATATGCTCTACGGGGTGATAACAGTGTGCTTTCACTTCTACGATGCAATGGCTAATATAGTCAATATAGTCATTACGTGTATTTTTAAAAATATTTTTCTCCCTTTCAGTCGTTCACCCATTTATTTTCTCTATCTCACTCTCTCTGTCTCCCTCTCTGTTTAGTCATTCTTACCTTGCTTGCATCTAGGGCCCACCTTAGTTCGCCCTAAATTCGATTCAAGACTTAGAAAGACCATTGATGTCTAGGCCGTTCGATAACAAATGGTAAACAACACGAATGTAGGGCAGATTTAGGAGATTGGTCTTTTACCTCTGAAACCGCCCATTACACAACAGATTATGCATTGTTTAATTCGTCTATCTAGCAAATAGTATTTGCTCGAATAAAACAATAAAGACGCTCATTTCGTGCTGTCACTCAAGGTCGTCTTTGACATCGGTTTTGACGCTAGGGGAAGAAAAGGGAGAGAAGGGGGCTATAATATGACCCTAAAATAAATCTAATTGGTTTGACCGCGTTGCTCAAGGTAATATCAATTCAATGGTAACCGTATCCCTTCCCGCCCTCGTCTCAGCTTGGTATGCTAAAATTTACGGGTCAAACAGCTGGATTTTATTTGTGTTCTTAGCCCCGCCGCGGTAGAGAGTGTTTAATGCAATCCTGGAAATAGCGCAAGCAGCTACACTTGCCACCGGTCTATGGCACTATCTTACTTGGTACAATATAAGACACGTATGTACTGGGTACATAACAGAATAGTCCCCTGCACAATGAACGTCTTAACTAGTGCTTCTAGTAGTTTGTTCTTTGAATTATCTGTTTCAACACGAAATGCAAGATCCACGACCTTAGCTCTGAGCAGGGAATTGTTGTCTACGATATAATTCCCTGCTCTGAGGCAGACAAAGAATAATTATTTCGTTAATTTTTTTTTCTAAATTTGATTTGTTGATAAAGCAAAGCTCTCAAAGGACGCCCCCCCTCCCCCCCCCCCACCCCACACACACACAACCTTAAGGTCTCGAGAACAACGGCTGAGTCATATAATCTGTATTCTTCAATATTCTTCACAATGACAAAAAACCTGAGTAAATACGCTCCAATCTTATATAACTCACCAGCGCCTAAGTGTTGTATAGATTTTTTCAATAGCCTGGCTTCCTTTCATCGTGGCACAGTTTCCCATTTGTTAAAAAGAGAACCCTGGTATGTACGTCTCGTATAAGTCAAACATATATAGTCTACGTTAACGGTGCAACGATCATGTTAATAAACATTGCATAGATCAGTCTTCTTTAACTCCGGTCGTGTCGACTGCCTTTTAGTGACCTAATAATGTCAGCGTTCAATCCGGTTTTGCAGTGTGAACATACACGAATTTACAAGTATATTATGTACAGGGAATTGCGATATATTCACAGCCTGCCTCGGGTAGAGCTCGCTTGCAATCGGTTTGGCTCGGTGTGACTCATAGTCCCACAACCTCTCGGGTAGCTAACTGGAATGTGCTATTTTTATCAGAGGCTTGCCCTTCGGTAAATAATCTGTATCGCCATGCTGGGGCGGATTCGGCTGGGGGGGGGGGGGGGGGGGGCGAGAGGATTTTAAAATAATCATGTAATTAGGGGAAGGCATGGAAAGCGAAGGGCTTCCGAAGCTTATGAGGGGCACGTGATCTAAATGTAAATAAATAATAATAAAAAAGGAAGGAAGATCAATTAAAGCAAGTAGCAGTTGGATTTTACATCAAATGCTTTCTGCAAAGACCTTATCAGCGGACATTTGTTACCAAGGAACAACTAAAAGGTACTTGGTCTTATAAAACTAGATCTTGCTGCAAGGGCCTATTTTACGGAAAGATTAATTCTTTGGGCTAGACTTCGATAGATAACAGCGGAGGCGACCTTGCGATATTAGTCCAGGGGTATTGCCAAGCAATGCAACACTATGAAATGCAGTTGATATATATATATATATATATAAAACAGAGTTATTATTTTCACTTCTTGGAGTAAAAATGTTTGTCAAAGCAATGGCCATTTGATCTTAGCGTGTAAAAGAAAAAAGACCAAAAATGAAAAATACGAGAATAGCGTATTTTTAGATTCTTTGCAACTGGGTTTTATCTTCTCGGTATATTACACTTTACACCACCATAGCCCACCTTAGCCCATCAATAAAAAGTTTGAAATTCAACATAATATACAGAATATAATAAAAAAGAAAACATGTCAATGATTTTCAAAGGAAACCGATTAAACCGAAAGATCCGACACCGAAAACTAGTTTGACACAGCACGAAGAAAGTATCGAAAACGCGATCAAATTTTGTTACACGATGTCGGTCAACATGTGCCTTTCACGTTGAAAGGACTGTTTGTATGATTCTCTTATCTTCATCTTTTCTTTTTGGAAAAAAAACCAAGATTTATGTGTGACACAACACTTTACGTAATAGCTATCCCAAAATATCCTCTTATACCAAACTGACAAGTTTTTTTCCCCTAACTTCCCTCCCAAAATATAAATTAATAAATAAATAAAGTTATGTTTCCAGCGAATACGGCAGGTTCGAACTTAATCGCGTAATGGCAGTTACTATAAAAGATTTCACGATGAAATAAAAAATCGTCATTTGTTCAAAAAGCCCACTTTTCCATTTTTATTTCTAACTCAAACGCTATAATTATAGGTTACAGATGTACCTCGCTATTTTAAACTAACAGCAATATACAATTAACAAATTATAAAAAATAAACATTTTAATATAATGACTAGAACAAAAAAGTATCACTAAGGAACTTCAAAAACATTTTAAAAGTTCCTGTTGTCCGTGCTACCTTACATTTCTTCTGGAAAGCCAACACAACTTTCACAATAAGTTGCTCCAAAATATATCTTCAGAAATAATTAGTTTAAAATATTAAATAAAGAGCACCAAGGTTACGAGATTTTGGTCTAAAACTTGCATTATATACGGCTTTAAGCCTTGTCCAAAATCCTTATCATTCTTGGCATAAAACTCAAAATTAAAAGTTAACAAAACAATGTGTCGTATCTATAGATATTACCAGTGGACAAGCTATGGACACACTGAACACAACAGACTGCAAGTCACCCTGTGCTGTTGTGTACCACAACTTATTTATGTTAAAACAAATGTTTATTTCATCTATCAGTTTCAAAAATGCAAGCTGTAAATGCAACTTTAAATCTAAGAGATAAATGCTACTTCGTTATATAATGCAGAATGCAGATGCATCTTTTTTAATTTATGCATTGAACCAAGATATTAANACTCCTTCCGTAGGGTAGATAATTAGCATTTAATTTTGCCATTTTTGGACAAGGGTGCATTGCAATGAGTGCCACACCCAGACCCCAATACCGACAAAGCCCAAATTTTACGTGGAACGAGTTGAGATTATAGGTGACCTAAATCCATGAGATGGGTATGGGGGGCCTTACCGTCTAGGAGGAGAAGCGGTAACGGTAGCCGTCCGGCGGAGCCGGCGGAGCCGGCGGAACGATCCGGACGAGACCGAAACCATGTGTACCGCCAGCGCTAACGCTGGTGGTACAATAAAATATTTTACAATGAACAACAAACGTCAAATATTCTAAATAAACCTTTGGCCATTATTGCCTGCTACATTACGTTGCGATTGCCCGTTTAGTTTGCTATGCAATCATATTATGTAAAATTTATTAAACATCTTTAACACAGTATTAATAGCTAAGACATGCCTGTATTCATTTGCGTAAAACCTCATATATTTGATAAATAGCTGAAACCTGAAAACAACCCTGCTTTAAACTAAAATTTCCATGCACATAAAAAAATACAACGGCTTTTTCCTTTACAATAAAATGTTCTTACTGTTTTCAGTTTTAGTTGATTCAAAATTTCTTGGTTTACAGTCTGTCTTTTGAAAGACCTAAGCTATCACACAAAGATAGCTAACTTAATCAATGAATTGAAAAAAACAAACTATCACAACTCAAGGGAAGTCTCTCATAATGAAATAATCAGCACCCTGTGTAGCAAGATCTTAGACCCCATTCGCAGAGATTAGATCGTTCCAACTAGATCGACCTAACTCCCTGGGGGTTCACGCTAAATAGCTGTCAGCCGAGCAGGCACGAAAGTTAATTACCCCCTTACAGCTTGTAGTAGGCGCGACAGACATTTAAGCTGGATTATCTGACAGTTATCTAGTGAGACTCCCCACGGGGATAGATGGATCTAAAATCTATGGGAATGCGCCCTTAGGAATGTCTCTTCAGTTAAAAGTACTCTGCAATTTAAAGAACATAATGGTATATCTAATCTTCCTTGTTGGAAAATCAATTAAATTGAAAGACATGCAAACAGTGGTTTTCTGAAACCACTTAGGTCTTATATGAAACAAAGCCAGCATTTCATTCAAATGCAATTAATTTTTACTAAGACACAATGAAAGCAGTATAATTATACAGCCATATTTTCACCTTAGACAAAAAAGTGAAATTCCATATTCCTTTGCTTATAATTCAAACAAAGTTTTTTTTTACCAAAGAAGATTAAAGCATGTGGGTTCCATTTACAGTGATGGAACATAAAAATACCCTTAATTGATCTCCACACTTAAAGGATATGAGGTAATCTAACACTAAATTTCATATTCCTTTGGTTATAATTCAATTTTTTTTTTACCAAACAGGATTGAAAAATGTACCACAGAGGATTGAAAAATGTGGGTTCCATTTACAGTGATGGAACATAAAAATACCCTATACACTTTTAGGATATGAGGTATTCTAAAACTAGTCTGCTAGCAATGTAAGTGGTGAGATTTTTTAATTTTCACACAGTTCTAATTTCACATTGCATGCTTAGTACACTTGTATATGTAATGACAGAGGGACAGGTATGAAAGCATGAACATTCACTTTCATTCACTCTTTTCACTTTTGCACTTCAGAACCCAAATATTGACAACAGAGTCTAATCTATTCAATATTCCTTGATACAATCAGTATGGAAGAGACTTCTGACAGGATCAACATTCACTTGGTCTGTCTCTCTCTAGCATCCTGATATCGTCCCTATGAAACAAAGAGGACTGAATATTCTCTTCTTTCTCCGTCTTCTCATCCTCTAGGTCCTCCTCCTCCTCTTCTAATGTGTCAGCAGGCGCAGAATCATGGACTTTGGACCTTATGGCTTCTATCAGCCCATGCAGTTCTGCTGACAAGGCCTGCACATCAGAGTCACCAGGGGGAGACACCTGCAAGTGCAGGTCACTATCACTGATGTCAGCATCACCATCATAATCATCTTCCTCCTCATCCTCATCTGATTCTTGGTATGAATCCTCATCCTGGAAATCCTCCTGGCTCACTGGCATGTACCCTTTCTGAATCAACTCAGAATGTCCTTTAATCTGATCTTCCTCCTCACTGACATCAGAGCCTTCATCCATTTCCTTTTTGGTCTCATCCTGTTGAGCAGTGCCATCTATTGCTGGTTTACCAGTCTGGTATAATGAAGTCTTGGAGAAGACTTTCACATTAGAAGGGGTTTGTGGTTCTGCCTCCAACTGAAGAGAACTGTTCTCCCTCTGATCTTGTTCACCTGATAATGAGGAACAACTTTTGGTTGAAACACCAACCAGACTGAGTTGACCTTCTAACCTTTCTTTAAAACATTCAGGAGAAGATTTGTGTACATCAGTAGCCTTTACTTTTGGCATGTCAGATTCGTGAGCAGACAAATGCTCCAAATCCTTGTTTGACTTAATGGCAAGAGGTAAAGATTCTTTCAGTATTTTATCATCTTCATGTTCCTCTCTTCCATTGACCTTATCATCACCACCATCATCAGCAGTAGCAGTAGTACCCTGACTCTTAGCATTGTATTGGGGACCATCAACTGAAGAAGACAGGGAGGGTTCGTGAGAGGGTGAACTAGTTAAACTGCTCAGTTCAGATGTCCCAAGGTTGCTCATACTGTCCTCCGAGGCCTGGTGAGAGTCACCACTGGCTCCAACCAATGTCTTAACCTCTGCACCATCGTCCCGATCATCTTCCACGACTTTATCATCCCCATTTTGCCCATTGACTGAAGAATCTCTATTCAAGTCACAACTGCCGTTCACAAACTCAGACCTCAACCGATCAAAGCTGGCACTTAGTTCTGTGACATTCCACAAGCCACCAACTTCTAAAGTTCTCAGCTTCTTTTCCAGTTCAGCAACCCTGTTCCCTAGAATCTTGTTTGTTTTCCTCTGATGAGACAGGGCCAGGTTTTTGTCATTTATAGAATCCATCAGTCCCCTGGACAGGGAAACCAGGTCCATCACAGTTTTCATTGTTGGAGGCATCTGAGCAGCTTGCTCTAATACCTCGTGCACCTGCAACAGGAAGGGTGGAGTTTCTGATCATCTTTCAATTGTTAGATCTTGTACAAATTCAAACTGCTATATTGCATCTTATCCATATTAGAGAGACTCTGGGACTATTTACAAATAAATAAATAAACAAATAAATGAGCTCAATAAATTAAATTTTGTCAGAAGTCATATCTCTTATATTTAAAAAAACCATACCTTTGATAAATGAGAACCAATAAATTCTAATTTGACAGTAATTGTGTTGAAAAATAAAAAAAAACCTAACAACTACCTGTTTTTGTGAAACTATCAATCCACCTGGGGTCTTGCCACCTTGGACACTGCCCATTTTCAAAATGCCTTTATTTTTCCTTCTTTCCAACAAACTTTTATACTTAGTTACAGTTGCCATGGCAATACACTTCTCCTCTTCCATTTGCTTTAACCTAAAATGGACAAGCACAATAACACACTCAACTTATCTTTTCAGATTTAAAGCAGCACAACCACCACAATAACCATGATTGAAAAAGCTGTTGTAAAAAGAAGCACTTAAAGAAGAACAATGCCTTCAGATTTTATAACTGGATTCCCGATGACACTTTCCCCAAGTCCAAGAAAAAGGAAACCAATATTAATATAAGTTGGCTTCAGTAATACAATCTCAGACCTTCAGTAATACAATCTCATGCATTTGGAAAATGTCAGAATTATGGAGACTTAACAGAGAAGAAAGTCATATTCATAAGCACTTTAATAAGTTATAGCTATAAACACATTAATAGTAAAGAGCAGATTGTTAGATATTTAAGGGATACCTTTCTTGAAGATACTTGTTTTCCATGGATAAAGCATCAATGTCTAAAATCCTGTTCTCATCACCCTTAAGAATGTAGTTCAGCTCCCTGTTGAGACGTTCATATTTAGTTTTGTAGGCATCTCTTTCTGTTTCCAGGTCTTCTTTTTCATCTAAAACTTGTTGCACATCTCTTTCTGCTACCAAAACCTGAAAATTAAAAATGACAATTGAGAAAATCTGTTGTAGAATCTCAAATCATTATTAACAAATAAAAGAGATCATACAAAGAGAAATGTTGGGATTTATGTTTTGTAGAAGTAGTGAGAGTTGCCAGATTTATACAGGAAGTGAACCAATGAGGGTTTCACACAACATGGCTCATGTCTCAGTCACTGCCATTGTCGTGTGGCTTCAAAGACAAGAACAGTTTGATCGAAATTCTTTAGTAATAGCTTAGCTATCATAAACACCTTTTCCTGCATGTCTTCCAGTTTAGTCACAAGTTCTTCTCTTTCGTGTGCAGGAAAGTGCCTCATGTTCATGCCTTCTTCAGATGTTCCCATGCGCTGCCGTGCAATTTGTTCGCGCAGTAACTTGATATCACCATCTGCATCTCGTAATTTTTGCTTCAGATCATCAACCTCCACCTGATTGGTAAGAAATATTTGATATGAAAACTCAACAAATCTCTTTTGCAGAAGCCACTCATTTTGTGTAGAGTTGTTAAAAAAGTATCTTTAATAAAGGTCAAATTTCAATTAAAACAAAGATATGAATTTGCTTTTCTTAGGAAACTGATAAAGATTTGTAAATATTACAAAATACAGCATAAAATTTGAAACCTGGTTTAATGTTTTTAAATCGCAATGTATCACGAGTTTTACTATAATAATAGTCTGTATTGTGTAAGAGAACAAAGGGAAATATTTCATCATACTTATGGAGACAATAAATGCATTTCAATTATTCTGTTATGGCCTTTTGTGTAAATTTTTGGACATGACCCCCATCACCACAAATAATCTCCTGCAAACTTTTTAAAAACTTCCAAATTGATAATTCATCATATAATGGTACTCTCTTTCGTCATCCTACATTGCCATAAATATTTCATTCCTTAGCATAATTTTTTTATCTTTTGCAACCATCTGCACAAAACAGCTGTGTGTAGTAATATGTAAGTCAAATAACTTATGTAAGATAGAAAAAAAGGTATGTGGTAGGAATAATAATATTTTTAATAAGCAGCTGTAAGCTAATCTGCACAACTAGAACTATACAATTTCTAACATTGCAATTTAGTAGTCCACAAAAATTTACATACCACCATCTTTGTGTAATTCAAACATCCATGTAACTGATAACAATTCATGCAACACCTGATAATTTCCTAAGCTTTCATACAGCACTGCAGCAGTGAATACCACACTCCCAACCAGGAAGTATTATCAGTTCAATGATTTCACTACTGGTTATAACATCTGATAACCTATCTGACAAATCTTTTTTACACCACAATGCCCAGCTTACTCCTTTTTCCAAAGGTGTTATTAGTTACATGGCAAGTGCTTTGTATCTTATCTGTTAATACACACTACCTGTAATGCTTGGCTTCTCATAACATGGTCTATGCTCTGTCGGGTTGGGGAGGTTGGTATGAACATCTTGGCATTGCCCTGTCTGTATCTTCAAAAGACAGAATATTAACCTTAAATTCTACTGATGTAACAAAGCATATTTTTAAATTATGACCAAACTTAAAATGTATATTGTAACGTTTATTAAAACTATTACCATGCTTCAAGTTCAACTTAGATGATCTGTTGACTAAGGAAACACTAGAAATGCTAATAGTACAAGCAAATGTCTGTTTCTGAAAAGCAGTCTAAAATAATACATACATGAGTGGATTTAATCATAAAGGAAACAATATAATGAAAAAACTGATAAATTTATTAATTTTTAGCACCTAATGGGATGAAACTGCTGTTAAATGAAAAGGTCAGAAAATATGGTGTGAGGTCCAGGGGGTAACCTAGGCCAATGAAATGTTTAGCTCCCAAAAAGGCAAAAATCAGCCAAAAGTCTGAAAAATCTTATCCGAGTTCATATAAGCATGTCTTCACACAGGTGCTTAATTAATTTCTGTAGATTTGCAATGATGTGACCGAGTCCCTAGATATTCTAGAAATATTTTACCTTTGTTGTTCAATGATAAGGCGAAGTTGATCTCTTTCTCTTCGACAGCCATCAAGTTCTTTGGTCAGAATAAGCAGGGCCTCACACTTGCTATCCAACTTTCTCTTACAAATCTGGTACTCATTTCTCACGTGGTCCAGCTCCTGCATCTGTCGCAATCTGCAACATTCAAGGCAGAGATTGTGTCAAAAATTGCATTAGTTGTGACAGGACAATGTGTTAGATGAGACAACTTTTCAGAGAAGATGCACTGTGTTACAATAAGATGTCTGACTCACTGAAAAAAATAAGTGAAAATGAGGCATAAAACTATTCTAGAAGTGCTAGGAGAGAGTGCTATTAACCCTGGTGTTGGTTTTTATATATATATATATATAATTTTAACTTCAAGGCATATAATATGAATAAATATTTCACTAAATATGCCTCATTTTCACTTAATATTTTACCTGATAAACACTGAGAATAGTTTGGACCATTTCTGTGAATGTGCAAGTGCCTGGAGTCACCTTTTTAGTAAAACATTAATAGCATACAGTGTGTGTTTGATATTTAAATACAGCAAAAAACAGGGGGAAAAGTTAACAATTTCCCTAACCCTAAGGTATATCCTATCTATAAATCCATTTTAAGGATCTAAATTTCTTTTTTTCACTTTTATATTGATATTCACTACTCTTTATCTACATTACCTGACTCAGAGTGACTGAAAAAATATGAAACCAGCACTGTCACTAAAAAAAAAAAACTTACTTATTGTTATTCTTAGGATTGAGGGGAAAAATGTTAAAATTAAAAAAAAAAAAAAAAAAAAAAAACTTAGGTTGTCTTTAATCAAATCCATCAAAGTGCCAACAGTTTCAGACTTTTCTCAATGTTATACTATCACACCTTAATCTGTCGTCCATTCTGTTAAGTAGGTTAGCCCATTTCCACCTCAAGTACTGTATCAAGGGCATTCACCAGCACCCCTGATCAAAGATAAGCCCCACGTCTTCCTTCATTCTGGAAGTGATAAGAGTGTCTAGTGAAAGCACACTGTATAATTCAGAGGTGATTTTTCATACAAATAATTAGTTTCCATTTGCTAGGATGTGCATTAATCCATGTGCATGAATGAAAAACCCATAACAAAGTAAAAATCAAAGACATTAATTAGCACAGATATGCTGAGCACTAAGGTGCTGATAATTAAAAGTAAAATATGCATTTAACTTATAACAGATTTAAGTACCTACTGATGAATATACTGGTCTTCTAGTATACATCTCTAGATAGTAAATACATTATAAAGATCAAGTTTTGCATGAAGTTACTAAGATCACATTCAATGATGAGTCAAGCCTGTGTTCACTTAAGACTAGTCATAAACAAGACAAATGTGGTCTAGAATAGGTTCTGATCAATAAAGATGCATAGACTGCTCCCTGATGTTTTGCCCAATGATGCTAATTAACAGCAATAATTCAGAAATATGGGGTTAAAATACAACACACTGTGTATTCAGTATGGAGGCATTAGTCATAAATTAAATGACAAGGGCAGATTTTTATATTAAGATAATAAATCAAGTTATACTTTTGTCTAGTAGTCTTATATGTGTCATGACTTGGGAACAGGTCCCTATTTAAACTGGTGCACTTATTAGGGAAAACATGTCTTATGCAGCATTAAAGTAATAAACACATGCAAGATCAGCTGTATTTTCATCCTTATGACTGCTTATCTTTATCTTTACAAAATTGCCTTAGCATTGATCTCTTTACTAGTACAATGTAACTAGACTGACTAGATCAATGGCATATGGGACTGCATACAAAATATTAGGACCATGCACTATTGTACAGAAATTCAATATATGATGCAAAAGACGAAGTTCATAATTTCCTGACAATCATTAATGGTAAACGGCGTTATACCGTTACCATACATGTACAGTACGACTTAATACCAGTACAAAACATATTATTTATTTGCATAAAAGGCGGTTTATCATTATTTAAATGCAAAATAAAACGCAATATTTCCCCTCGAAAAACTTATGTCTTCATCTCAGAGTTGCTAGAATTGCTACAGTCGTTCATAACACCATAAATAATGCATACTGATAAAAAAAAACAAGCTTTGTATTTAATTACTGCAACTGCAAAATTCTGCTGTTACCATGCATGAAATGATAAATAATATATATCAAACACGTGTCACCCAGCATTCTTTCAAAGAAAATACAAACACGAAAATATCCCCTATCTGACGACTAAGACAAAAAATATTTCTCACCTTGCGAATGTCCACTGTGATAAATGTCAACGCTGATGTCTTACTTGATGCTGCCAGATGGCAATATTGACCACAATAGGTGCGCAGCTATCCTGCGCTTATCGCTTACGGCACTTAAAATAGTTGTACTTTCACTGTTCGTTTAGACGGCAAAACGTCAAAAATTGCTACACATTATCACTTATCATAATGTATTATTGGATGTTTTGTACGTAGTTTCGTTATATTTTCATTAAAGAAAATCCTCAATGGTTTAGCGTTGTCGTAAATATAGCAGGAAGTCAAGACGTACCACTTTACGATACCAACATTCTAATGCACGTGGGAAATGTTGCGAAGAAGCCTCAAAAGATCAGCACAAAATGAAGCTTCAGCAGCTCATCAAGGGACTGGTACACATGCTAGCGAAGTGAAAAAGACAGCAAAAGTACTTGGTAGTAGCAAAGACAAAGATGAAGCAGAAAATGTTCTAGAGAAACTAGTGCTTGGTGGAGAGAGTGAAATCGTAGAAAAGCTTCAGCCGAAATCTGCAAAAACAAAACCTAAGTCAAAGGTAAATTTAGCAGCTAAAATTTATAGATGTTAGGTGCTTGTTCTCTCCGAATCGTTCTTGATGTTATTCTAGTATAAAATTTCTATTTACCTTACGGATGAACAGGGTATACATTTTATTTTCTTTTTTTTTCATTTACATTTTAATGCTAATTGTAAATGATATGTTAGTTTTATTTTTGTACGAATCTGTCCAGTTTATACTTGCAACTAAAATAATGCTGTTTTCCTTACAGGGAAAGGATTTCACACAGGAGAAAAAAGCAGCATGGGAAGATGAAGATGATCTCACTGAAAGGTAAACACATTATTTAATAATTTTTGTTTATATTTCCAAGTTTAAAGGTAAAGTGATTTTCAGTAAAAATAGTGTACTAAAAGAGGCAAATGTTGAAGTATTTTTTAAAAAATTATTTGTGAGATTTATATAATTGCATCTATCACTATTTCTTAGTTGTTCTAATAATATAAGAATAAGGGTTAATTTCTTAAAATAATATTCTCTAAACTATAACAAAAAACTTGTCTATTGCCAAAAAAACTTTCTTACATATTAATCATTTCTGTCTGAAACAGTGTCAACCTAACAAAAGATAGGAGGCATGCAGTTTTGAGTCATGGAGAAAAGAAGATCACTGGAGATTCTTTTCAACAGAGATTGAAAAACCAGTAAGTGATTAGGGTTGTATTTACATGCAAAATTTTGTTTCAATAAATATATGAGTAGCCTCTGTAGTAAGTTATTACAATATTGAGTTAAGTAACATTGGCTGTACTGTCTGGTTTTGACTGCAGCACCCTCAGTGCTTTATGGTTACTTGGTCAGTACACATTTTTCTCTGTACAGGTTTGAAAAAGTATCTGGAACACCAGCATGGGCCAGGCTGAAGTCGGGAGATGAAGAGTCAGATGGAGCTGAGGGTATGTGAAGTATATAAATTATTTATTGATTGATAATAAATTGTATCTTTACTGCCTCTTTGATATAAGCTTTGATTCATTGATTTCGTTTATGAAAGTATAGTGATTTGATTACGTGATTTCTTTTACAAAATAGGATCACTGTTGAATTTCTTTTGTTATTGTTACTTCTATATCCCAGATGACCCAGAGGCAGCACAGTTGTTACAGACGACAGGGGATTACCTAGCTCCTTCAGAGTCACTGCCCAAGGGGGTCATACAGATCAAGAGATGTAAAGATGCCAACAGTGAATGCCCCTCACAGGTAAGGCGCATCTGGTTTATGTTTTTCTTGAAGATTTTGCTCTTTGTGTGTGTGTTTGCACATGTATATATGGAACTGATTCTTAAAGATTTCATCTGGTACTGTGTGTGTGTGTGTGTGTGTGTGTGTGTGTGTGTGTGTGTGTGTGTGTGTGTGTGTGTGTGTGTGTGTGTGTGAAATAGAATGGAGAGAGAGATTTTAAGATTTGTTGACAATATTGAGTTTTTGTGTACATGCCTGTTTTATATTAAAATAAGGCTTGGCTTTTAAACACAAAATCCATAAAATTGATGTAATATGTATTTAAAAAATTTCCAGGGTAAAGTTAAGTCTGTGGAATTTCACCCCACTGCACAAGTCATTCTTACTGCGGGGATGGACCAAAGGTTACACCTGTTTCAGGTACTTCATTATGAATTATGCTGGCTGGATATTCCAGGAGGATTTTTTTCTCTTCTGTTTAACTTATATCAATTTTGTCTACCATTTTAAATGTTGATTGGTAAATTACACGTTGTTATATGTACTCCAAGGATTTGTTTATAAAAGTGTCTTTTAACAAGGAAGGAATGATATTAAACACAGCTACAACAACACATATATATTGTCTGTTGAAATTGTTCTATACAATCTCAGTTTACCTTCAGGTATGAACGTTTCACATTTCATTTCAGGTGGATGGCAAGAACAACCCCAAAATTCAAAGTCTTTTTATGGATCGTTTTCCCATTCACACAGCTCACTTCAGCAGGACTGGAGAGGAAGTCATCATGGGTTCTAAACACAAAAATTTCTATTACTATGACATGATAGCTGGGAATGTTGGCAATATTCCACAGATAAAAGGTATCCTAAATAATTGTATAAGGCAATATTTGTATGGTAATTGTACTTATGCAATAAGCCCATTATTGGCTATTTGTAATTTACTCATATTATAACTCACAGTAAGGAATGCAGGAATACAAAATTGACCAAATTTTCAACAGCTCATTTATATCAACAATACATACCCACAGCAATTGTTTTTTCAAACTATTTATTTTTAGGTATTGAAGAAAATGATATGAGCAGATTTGAAATGTCTCCTGATGGAAAATTTATAGTTTTTCTTGGGAAATATGGTCACATGCATTTGATATCAGCAAAAGTAAGTATTTAGATTGTGCCCATCTGTTTTAATATTTTTTTCATAGAGAACATGGTTTAGGTGTTCACTTAGTGTCATTTTAAATATCAAAGTATTGGCATGTTTTGCCATGTTTAATTTTGGTGTTTTCTTTTCAGTCAAAAGAATGGCTGAGTAGTTTAAAAATGAACGGCACAGTGGATTCAGTAACATTTTCTCCAGATGGAAGGAGAATGTACTCTATAGGAGGTACGTAGCATGAATTTTGTTTTGACCTTCACACTTTGGATGGTCCCACTGCAGCATTTGATAAGCTAAATACCTAAGTTTTGAAAATATGGATAAATAAATGGCTTTAGAATAAAGATATATGAGGATCTCCAACTCCTTTGTATGTTTTATAGTGTCAGCTTTGGTTTCTGATCTATAAAATTTTTTATTTACCAGAAAGTATTGTATTGCAACTGAAGTTTTCTTTTTTTTGCATTGCATATGCCGTCATAAAGGAAAAATATCATTAATGTGAACTTTTACAGACTTGCATTAAAGATGATCCTTTGAAGTATGCTTTTGTTGAATTTTGCCTAATTTCTTTTCAGATGAAGGAGACGTTTATGTATGGGATATGACTACAAGAGACTGTATTCATCGCTTTAAGGATGAGGGCTGTGTTCAGGGCACAGCTATAACTATGTCCAAGAATGGGCAGTATTTAGCTTGCGGGTAAATGATTTTTCACTGCAATTATTACACTTTTGAATTGACAACCAACAATTAGCTTTTATGTGCAACGTGCAGTCTTGCACCTATGATGATAACAATAAGGTTGAAATGATTTTAGGAAAAAGTTGGTTTCAAGTAAAATTAGTATATATTAAACTATAAAAAGTCAAAGATGATGGTTGCTTAATTTACTTCAGCTCATACTGCAAACACAGATGCTCGAAGCAGATTATAGCTTGCTTGTTTATAGATTTATTAATAAGTGGCAAAATACACAATACTGGTCAATTCTCAGTTCAATTACTGTGTAATAATTCATCCTTTTTCTTTTTTAAAGGTCCTACAGTGGTGTTGTGAATATCTATGATGAATCTTATATGAATTCTGGTTATCCTAAACCTGTGAAAGCCATAATGAACTTAGTAACTCCCTGCACCAGTGCAGTGTTCAACTCCACATCAGAGCTCATGGCCATCACTTCAAATTATGCTGAGAGAGCGATAAAACTGGTACATAGTAGAACAAAATATGCATCTTTTTTTTGTAAAAACGGAATGAAAATGACCATAAGATTTTAATCATGGTCAAGAAACTTAATTTGCCAATGAAGAAAATAGGGCATTTAGATGATAATGATACTGGTTTTCATATTCAAAGATGTGTGTTAAAACAAATTCTTACACATTAGCAAATGTTAGAATACCTCTTTTATGTTTCTTCTATTTTTTCACATTGTCTTTATTATTTTAATTACTTACTAAAATATCTTTTGCAGGTCCATTTCCCATCAATGACAGTATTCTCCAACTTCCCTGACAAGGCAGACAGCCTCAGGATCCCTCTTGCTATGGATTTCTCCCTGAACAGTGGCTACTTTGCTGTGGGCAACCACAGAGGACAAGTGCTACTTTACAGGTGACCAGTGATTTCTTATCTTTTCACATACAAACTTGATTAAATTTAGATATGATATTTTTTAGTGTTTGTGTATATGCAAGCCCAGCTTTTTAGTTAAATATACTATGATTTAATGTGATTTTTGACAGTTATTGTAAAATTATTTCTGTTTGATATGATTGAAAATTCTGTAGTCTGTCTTAGTACTTTAAAAAGTAAATATATATCTGATGGCCAGGTACAGTGACAATATGCATTTTTAACTTAAAAGCCGTTATTTTTTTATGTCAACTGATATGCCATCACATATCAAATGGAATTCAAATTCTTAATCTGGAAGTATGCCAAAAAGATTGAAGCACCTGCCTAACATACATGTTTTTTTTATCCAGAGTAAAGCACTATGGGAATTACTGACAAGTTTATCTACACTTGGAAGAAGAAAGTTGTGAATTGTGACTTATCCGATGTTTCAGAGCTATTTCTTTGGCATCATCCAGTAGTAAGACTCTCAGGTTACAGTGTTTTGGCTGGGCAAAGCATGTGACATTTAGTATCATTTCCTGGCAATGCTTGCACTGCTACAGATGCTCCCAAACTGAAGGTGCTTTGGAAGACATACAGACAATGGGATGAATCCAAGGAACATTATACAGAATTATTAATTTTTATTTATAAATCATGTGTTTCAGGTATTTACTATCATTTTGCACAATAAAGTCATTCTCGGACCTGAGACCAGCAAAAGTGTGGCGTTTTACTGAAATGCCACAATGATGAAAAGTTAAAGTATATGTATCAAGATCTTACGTAAATTTGCAACTTAGCATATTGAAGGGAATTGTTACCAAAGGGAGACTGGGGTCATGTAAGGATCTGGAAAAAACATTGTTCTTGATTAGATTAAAAAACTCAAATAATTAACTTCGAATATATGGAAAATAGAGATAGATTATAGCATAATAGAAATTAAAAAAAAAAGAAAAGAAAATGAAGTCCTGTGGAAAGAGAAATATGGTGCATCAGAATAAAAAAACTTTTTTTAAAGTTTTTTCACAAAGGCAATTGAGTTAATATGGAATACCATACTTTAGAAACCATCTTAAGAAGTGTAAATGTGGCATCAGGTTCTTTTGAGAAAAGTTAACATGTTGATTCCCCCCCC